GCTTCATCCATTTTTTTGTATGTTTCGGTGAACTCTTTCATGAAAGCGTGGGTCACTGTAATTTTGCTGCTGCTTGCGCTTGTTGATGTCGTTGATGTCGTCGATCCGCCGGAGGCATCTGATGACTTAGGCCCAGCAAAAGCGTTTGAATTTACTTTCTAACAAATATTCACATATTAATGATCTTGCGATTCTTGCTCGTAAACTTTACAAAGAGAAAAAAATGGTATGATTACCGAAAGAATATCAATCGTGAGCTCGTACCAATCGACATCTTCAATGTCAAGCTTTGGTATGTTTTCTTTGGCAAGTTTTGATAATGTCTTGAATGAGCTTTTGCAAACCGAGTCATCCAAACTTGCTTGAGATTCTAGTATTGCTTGTAATCGTTCAGGATAAACTGTTTATTCTTCGCTACAAAATCCTTCAACGAAGGCTTTTGCGTGTTGGCAAAAAACTCATCAAACACTACAAGTAGCATTATCATTAGAAGCAGCAATACACAACGTTGAAACATTTTTAGCAAAGTAATAAGGATGAAAAGAACAAAAGAGAAATATAACTGTGACGCGTGAAATTGAATAACTTACCTTCTTTGTATCCTTTTGTCGACATGGCAACAGCATGAAATATCCAGAACCTACTCTTCCCAGTTTTTATATTACGTCATCCCCTTGAAATTTTCTATGATGTCTACAGCAAAACATGGTCTTAGTTCTATCCCAGCTATTGCTTTTCTCCATGGAGGCTCTACCTGTTAATAACGCTTCTCAGGTTTTGGGCCGAGTAGCAGATGCTGCACAGCTAGGATCATCTTACATGGTCTTGGCTCCCTCGCAACTGTTGCGAACAATTTCTATACGTTTTATTGAGATACGGTTTTGCTCCCCTATAAGTCGAATAGGTATGCCCAACACACTCAAATTTATTGAAACCATTTGTTAGAAATATTATTTAGAAGGGCCAAGCGTTTTGCTCGACCATACAGGATCAGTCAATCGCCCGGTTTCTCTTATATGAACTACATTATACAAATCTTGGTGACCAGTTCACAAGAGGTACTAGCATATAGAGCCATGGGGTTCTGTTTAAATAGTACAAAGCACTGATATGTTTATTAACAGTGTCAAGCAGATTCTTCATGGGCTACACGATTTCGTATAATGGTGGAAGAGAATGTAATAATTATGTCGATAACAAGCAACACTTAGAATAATTTGATGTATTAGTATATCGATAAAGTAATAAAAGAAAGGAAGCCAGGGGTTTTGCTGAGTAGATCAAATGGCGTAAGTTGGATGTGGTATGAGAAAAAAAGAGAAGAATGGGAGGGTAAATACGCGATGTACCGATGTGCATAACCATTCAAGACAGTACGTATTGAAGAGTCACCGTAAGCAAAAAAGCATACAAGATATTGCATAATATGATCATTGAGGATGAACGTGATGAGGAGGAAATGCGGCGTACCTGTAGACGATTATATAATAAGTACATATTCGACAATGTTTAAAGTACACCAAACACTTCATTCATCATGAAAGCAAGACAGGCATTCATGCGATGCATTTTCAGACCAAGTAATACATTGCTATATTCAGATAGAGTGTTGTGCACAGCAGCCATACAGTGACCATCGGATAAACTTTTTTTCGTCTTTAACAGCTTTTCGAACCGTTGGATGTCATCAACCAGCAACTCGCTCGCAGAAAAATGGCCGCCTTGGACACTGTTCGTCAGTACGAAGCAATACATTACTAAAAGATGATATTTACCACTTCAAATTCGTTGAACTGTTGAAGGTCACCACTTGCTTCTAGCCATTCACGAGGGAACTTTGTGCATGTTGGGTCAGTTTTGCATATATACTCTAGATCTATGCAGTGGATTACCTTGTTTAGCTCGCTGGGGACATAGTCTACGCCCAATGGAATTTCGACACGGTTAAAGAACATTATCCGCATTGCCTCTTCGTGAACGCCCCGTAACACAGTCGTGTGGATGACGACATGGTGTTGGTAAGCCAATAGATGGTAAGTTCCGTCAGGAACTCGTTGGTTGTGATAGTCTCAGGCAGAGCCTCAGTGTCTTGCTGTCAGCAGGATGAAACGTCCAATTATGCCTTTTCGAGCATCCAGGCTACACTAAAAAAGTCAAGTTCGAGAGAAAAAAAAGAGACCCTTGCGATCTGACCATACCTAAACGTGCCACTGGGCTATCTACCAAGCCAAATACAAGTGTATGAGGACGCGTTCCCTGGATGGCACGGTATCTAGCCTCCCTGTCATTCTCAACGTCTGCAAACGATTTGCCTTTTATTTTGGTGCTACCACGACCATAAATTGTATCGTATCCAAGCGCCAAGCTTGAGCACTTTGATTGGATGGTTCCACAGATTCGACACTGTCGGGAGAGGCGGTACAACCATTAATTAGACGGTATGGATTCCCTTGCGTTGAGTCGCTCGGCTCTGCGCGATCCATTTGCCAATCACGGAAACCCAATCCGACCCAGCGATCACTTTGTTCAAATGAGTTTAGTAAAATCCCAGCTGATCCCTTTAGCGACGCCTTATATGGTGGGCTGCTGCAAACCAGACATGAAGGAAGATATGACAGAAGGGGTGCGCACTGTTGAAATTGTCAAGAGCCGCTATGGGGATACCAACGACAGCTGCTACACAAATTTTCTTACAAATGCCCGCAGATGCAAAGATGCTCTCAGCGGTCCTAAGCATGCTATCGCTCGACTGTGGTTTTACCACGAAAACGGCCAACAATGTTCACCGAGCACCAGTAGTAGCAGTAGCAGTAGCAGTAGCAGTAGCAGTAGCAGTAATGGCAGCCACCATCATAAAGGTAGTCGGACGAAAGCCTTTTTGAATAAGCTGCTCCATAGGAACAAGTAAAAACCACAGCGCTGTGTACTCATGTACTGTCAGAAGAAACCAACTGTATGAATTGCACAAACTGTATGAAGTGAGCTTACTGCATTGACTCCTCGTTACTACAGCGCATACAGCACTTGCATGAAATATGATTCCAGAGCAGCTAAGCTTTGCATATTTTCAAGAGAGAACCATATTCAAGAACAATGTTTTTTTGTTAAGCCATGTTTGATGGAGTAAGACAAATTTCAGAGCAAAGAGGTTGGCTTAGAGAAGTAGAATACAGATCAAGATGGCAAAATTAAATATGTCGGTGCGACGTCTGTGCCAAGAATAAGCTAAAGTGTGATGACAACAGCAACAACAATACCGGGCCGAGTACAACCTCTATGCTCAAGTCTTGGTTATCAATATGAACCATTACTTCACCATGACTGTCGCACTATATAGTCTGGCATATAGCAACCACGGATATACGATAAAGGCGTGGAATGTTACACGGTGCTTTTGTGGTTTAAATTTATTTAATCTATTTTAATTTAAAGGTTCTTCGAAGATGAACTAAAAAGGTGGTAATATCGCGATCCCGCCAGTGCCGGATGCGGTTGAATGTAGCGGCACTGCAGTGGTTGAGTGAGAGTAAGGGAGGGGAAGGATTTTTTTTGCTAAATGTCGTAAGGGACAATTGATGCTTATTACAAGTAAGTTTATGGGCTTCGACTTTATGCTTCGTTCCATTCCCTGTCTGACGTTTTTTGGTAAATTTCTTGCGCGGATATGTATATAGAAAGGGAGGGAGAGAGAGAGGCAAGAGATGAACCAAAGTGCAGTAAGGATACACGTAGGACCGACGGAGACGAGCCAGTGCAGAAATGCTACGGCAGAGAGTGGCGCTGCTAAGTCAAGTTGAAATTAGTCTATGGCTCAATACAACATAGCGATGACTTTTCTGTGGGGATATACGAATGACTCACATATTTGGGGTGGGCCGACTGCTGTTTCTATACCCTTTCAATGCAGGCTCAAGACTAATGTTATTGGCATTAGCAAACATATCTTAACCATGACTATTGTACAAAAGGAAGAACGTGGCTGACTATAGATACCTTTGCAGAATACAGCATGTCATCCTGATGGCCCAGACGGCAGCCTTGGCTAGCAGAACCGTTGTTCAGACCGTGAGCTTGGTAATGAGGAACACGGTCCTCATCAACGATACTGCCGCCTTCAGAACCGAGGCGGCCGTCTCCACAACCGAGACCGCCGCGCTTATGACCAATGCTAGGTCCTCAGCAGTGAGCTCAAAAGCGGCCTGGTTGTGGTTGTCGTCCTTGGTGGTGGCGATGGAGACAGAGGAGGCAGAGGAGGCAGAGGAGGCAGAGGAGGCAGAGGAGGAGGAGGCGGAGGGAAGTAAACTGGCGAACCAGCGGAACGCAGTTTGCAGTGCCGAGGCAGCTGCAGGCAAAATTGATTTTAAAATAGGCATTCTGTTGTGTGTGTGTGTGTGTGTGTGTGTGTGTAGAACGAGAAGTAGTAGTAGTTGAAGAGTAAAGAGATATCCAGGATCGAACGAAGCTTGGTATTTATAATGCTAGAACAAACCCTTAATCAATCCATCCATCCGCAACAGCTGATCGATCACCTTTTGCACACTCAACTTATCATCCTAATTCATCATTACTACTTCTACTTCACCCGAGGGTTTTTCTGACATTTAACCTTGTTCTTGTCCGGTCTCCCTTGTCATTACTCCTGTGTAATTTCTTGTGACAGAGCATCGGGAAGATAGATCAACAATGGAGGATCTGCTTTCAGAAATAGTAGGAACCCCACAGAGAAAAGTAGAGAGATTGATTGGCAGGTCGGAAGCCATGTGTCGCTTCACTGAGGGTTTCTTTTCCTCTTTATATACATCTATTACGATTAATAACATCTGCATCGGCACTACTTTTGGAGCCCGTTCCACTACAACCACAAGATATCATACATCAGCATTTAGCAACATCATACAGTAATCACATGTTGTTTTCGAAAAAAAAGAGCAGCAATGACAGGAGCTCCTTCGCAATATGATCCTTGACGCATCATAAATCCTTGTCTTCCGATGTGCTGATTAATGGCCGCCCAACTTTTGCACTGGTTGTCTCCTTGTTTCTTTCACGATACTTTCGTCCATGTATTCCCTTTCTCTATGTCCTGACATCCATCCCAGCTCTTTCCAAGCAGCAAGAACACTGCTACGGCAAAAGAGAAAGCATAATAAAAACAAACAGCTACAGATCCATGGATCTAATAACATATGATAGACACTGATAATAAAATCAATGGTTCATGCTTTCCTAGACGTGAGCTTTTACACACGATCACAAGCCATTTCTCTTGTCCAGGGCTACTAGTACTACACATACAGTAATACTTTGATACCAACTCCATGCGCGTAATATTTTGATAGATCAACAAACCGTTGCGACATTATGATCGAATGACTTGTATTTCACGGTACCCTTACATTTTTTCAAATACCCGGGCGTGCTGCATTATTGTTGTTTTCATCAATATAGACATTTATGACAAACAAAATCAACAGTGACAACGAGATATCGTGATTAAAACAGCATTTCACGGGACATACTGCGGCCATGCCCAGTAACGCGTTCTGTGTGTATTATATAGTGTAGATGAGCACGCTTATTCATAAAGTTGTCTATATGCCAATTTATCTGGATAACGCCGTCTGGTTTGGACCCTGTGTCTTCATTTTCCCAGATCCTCTGCTAGTTTTATAGTAATCAAATAAACAGGTGTTTTACCTTGCTTACACGAGGTCCGATTCCCGGTATTGCTATTCTGCGATGCCAGTCACTCAATTCATACAGCAGGCTTGTACGTTTGCTAAAGCTTCTGTACCGAATGACATCATGTAAACTCAGTGTATCTATACTTGGAGCATTGTGACAAACACGCTTGATTTGATGCTTTACTACGTCCTCAAAGTAATGCTGCTTACAAAATATAGGAGGGGCCATCATCGCTCATTATAAATAAATCGGAAATATCTTGCTTTCCTGACAGTGACAACATGTTGGCGATATTAGGTTTGTAAAGGCAGTAAATAATGTTGTGCAAAAGGTGATACATAATGCTTACAAAGATATATGCAAAATCCTTGAGAAAAAATTCATCAGCCAGTGTGAAAGAGCTGTCATATATATGATAACGGGGAAATAGATTCTTGTTCTTACCTTTCGTGTACTTTGGTATCATGGTAGTTTACCTTCAATTTGTTGAAACGACGGAGTAGTATTGGAAGGAAGAGGATAAAAGACAAAATGCTTCTTTGACCTAGAGAAACTCATAAAAGTACATCGTAGAAAGGAAGTAGGTATTAGGAAGGGTTTAAAAAACTCCATAGTATTATCATGGCCTTGATTCACTGCTTCCGCTAACTCTTGAATAAGGTTCAAACTGATAAAGATGCAGCAGTCAATTGTAGTTGTCTTCTTATTGCCATAGCTAGAACTAGCTGCCGATGAATCCAGCTGACATAGCTACTATTATATGGCTATCACTAGCAGCATTTTACAATTTGATAATGCGTTAGTGCTTTCGAGCTCCTATGACAAGTGCATCACTGTGTTGAGAGCTCAGGACGATATTTAGCGCACGACAAACTATTTCCATATTTGTTCGGGGCACGACAAGTTCTAATAATAAATACAGTAGAATATGTTACACAGAGCAGCATAGCTGACCCTCTTGTGTTAATTATAGCTGATGGGTGGTGTCGTGCCCGTAAGAAACACAGCGCGTATGTTATTGTAAGAAGTCAATTGGTTGACATATGTAGGTGGGACGCGTCGTGCCCGTAAGGAGGGCATTTTGAAAGACGTACCGAGATAACCGATAGTTACTCTTCGTTCAAATAAACTCTGGTTCTTGAGAATATGATGATTCTTTCACAACTTTGTGCGGATATATATCAGTGGCACTATCAGAAGAACCAGTACAGTACATGTGTTTTTTTGCATATAAACTGACTGTTTCAACTGAAGGAGATGGAAGGGAAAAAAATCACTGCTTCTTCTAGCCTACGAGTCCCCATTTATGTGCGGTACTGTATATTTACCATTACTACTGCAAGCACGAAAGAAAAAGCGACGTGGTACAACTCAAAGAGCGAACCTAGAGTGGCAAGGAATACAAAGGAGGCGTAGTGCTTCAGGTTTCATGTTGTAACATATTGTATTATCGATATATGCTATCGGAAGGTGAACATCGATATACATGCAAACCACGGAATAGCTTTGCAAATGTTGTTTGATTTTATAGCAACATGGACTGGTGCTTTTTACGCAACGGGACCGGGAATGTATCCAAATGCGTTGTCAATGTCGCTATCCAGTGAGATTTAAGTCGCTATTCTTTTTAAAAGTGTGGTCGTCGCGTAATCAGAGGATGTAGCATGCTTAGATCTCAACGCTAGTAAACTCTTGGCACTTGGCACTGAGAATATGTAATTGCCATGGTTATTTTTGTATCATCTCTTCTTTCACTTCATTACATGCGTACAAAGAATCTTGCATTTCTTCACGATGATGGGCTCGGGACCGTTGTTGATGAAGATGGTAACCCTGAGCCCATGGATTATGTTGTCGACGAAGAGCGTTTTGCGGTTGAAAGACGTGTCTCACATACCAACTATTTGGAAAATCTTCCAAACTTAGCTTCAGAATCTTTTCAGCAGCGCACTCGTCGTGGTCGTGGTCGTCGAATGCAGATTGATCAGCCAAGGGATGAATACGTTTGTATGAGGGAAGCAAATGAAAAACGTGAGTATACTCGGTATACCATAAGGATAAGGAGAGATTATATAAGAGAAAGATAGAGAAATGCTTGAGTGCATATGCTGCGGCCAAACAATTAAGTATCGGTATTCTTACTGGTCAAAGATGGGTTAAGGAGCATGGTGAACTTGGAGACTGCTTCTTTGAGAGTTGCAAATAGTCAGGTCGTAAATCGATTCTGCAAGAGGAGCACCAGAAAGTTATTGAAGCTTTCGTTGATGAAGATGCACAGCGTAGTGTTGTTGAAGTAGTTGAGCATTTACAAGAGAAGTTCGTTGACTTTCAAACCTCTCGTAGTGCTGTTGACCATTCTATGAAAACCAAGTGCAACCTTTCACTGAAGCAAGCAGACTTTCACTCTGAAGAAAGAAATGGCCCTGAGAAGATCAAGGAGCGCTATGATTGGCTTCGTTAATGAAGTAAAACTGACATGAACCCTGATTCAAACTGTGTATTTCTTGATGAGGCTGCCTTTCATATCAACATGAGACGCTCAAATGGTTGGTTTAAAAGAGGTACTCGCGCTACTGTCACTACGCCTTAAACGAGAGCAGAAACAACGACCATATTAGGCGCTATTTCTTCCGGTCTAGTTAATGTTGATGTAAGAGTACCAATGGCGATAAGGAGACAGAAGGCTAATGGTGAAGACTATAAAACACCGGTACTATAACAGGCCACTATTTTAGTTTTTTTTTCAAAAGCCACAATAGATGAAATGGATAGGTATGAGAAATATAAAGACTACTATATTGACATGGATACAGTAATGCACCTATTCATATAAACCGGAATATAGTAGAGCATATCTACTGGCGAGGATATCGATGTGCTTATCTTCCGTTATATTCTGCTGAACTCAATCCAATTGAGAATTTCTGGTTGGTGGCAAAGAGTCATGTTAGGCGTGAGCGGTTCTTAAAGCAGGAAACTTTATCGACAAGAATTGAGGAAGGATGTCATTAAGTAAAACCAAATGATTGGGAGAAATGTCGAAATAAGCAAACAATCTAACATGTTGTACATACCATTAGACATGAAAATACTGGGATAGGATCTGCACCTTCAAGCAGAGTACTTGGCCACTGGTACATACGTCTTTGTATGTAATTCATATCTAATTTCAATTTTACGTGAACTTCAGTTCTGTCTGGCAGAACCTTAATTGTAGCCCTCAAAAACAGACATAACCTATTGCAATATACGGTATTCGCTTGGCACTGTCAATTGTGAGTGGTGCGATTAACAGCGCTATTACCATGTTAATATATATAATAAGTAGCTCGTTATTAAAAGTAGAAATTTATTTTTCTATGCGCTATGATACTGTTTTTGCAACACCATCTTTCACACTTTAAAACCAAAGGTTATGCATAATTTCATTATGGTATCATAGTCAGGCATTTGATACGTGTGATTATCTGTTTCTATATTTTCACCTATACAACTCTCGCATCATATTGAATGCAAAGAAAAGTTAGCTTTCAACATAGGATTGACAATCAAATTTGCTCTTCTGATACTACAAGATAGATAAAGTGAACGATCTAGTCAACAAAGTTATTCTTATTCTTGGGGGAGTAGTGATGAATATGTACAAAGGGGATTTTTTAACATCTTTCTTTATATAAACGTGTTTGGCCACGATTCGTTAATTAGTGGGTTACTCATCAAGCCTTTGAGGAATCCTCTCCAAACCGGACTTTCGATCACCATGTCAGGCCAGCGTCCAAGTGCACCTACCAGGCCGTTCGTAACAGTCGAATCGTGCTTTACATGGATCATCTGGGGCGCATTTTCGCTGTCGACGACCAGCGTTTCAAAAAATTGATGGCCAAACTCGTGCACAAACTCGCGTTCTTGATCATGACCACGATCGTGCATCAACACCAAGCAGTCGCTTGTGAATACGCCTAGAGTCTGACCCTGGAAGAATGACGCGTTTGCTGATGCATGTTTCTTCAGCGAGGCTGGAATGATGTCTTGTAGCAGACAGCGTAATAGATTGCTGCAGGAACTATCCAAATCAGCTGATCGAGCTAGTGGGGTAGTGATTAAGCAGGAACCCAATTCCGCTAAGTTGTGCCCAAGACAAAAAGTATCGTGCATTAGTTCATTATTCCATTTCCATCCCATCTGCCGTCATCGCTATTACCTGCTCGCACAGCGCCACCGCTCTTTCCAGCTTCCAACACTTCGTTGACAATCATATCAACAAACCAATGCGGTCCTCCGATATCCAAAACCGTCTGAAACATGACCATGTCCAAATAGTGAGTAATCACTTGTTTCGGTGCCTTGCTTGCATCCCATAATGCAACAACATCTGCATCGACATCCCTCATAAACATGGATCGACCACTCTTGACTATATATCGAAACATTTCCTGAGCTTTCCGCGACAAATTATCACAGGTGACGCGCGTCGATATAGTTTCAGTATGATGCTGTCGTTGTTCGTTTGTTTCTTCAATGCCAAGATTGGTCTTGATATGGTTTTGTAAAATATTCAACTGTGCTTCCCAACCGCTTTCATTGTTGCTGTCGTTGTTGCTGTTGCTGCTTTCGTGATGAGCCGGCAGGCCAGCAACAATACGCTCTTGCTTTCGCTGTTCTGCAAGACTTAGTAACGCTCCCAGGATAGAACTGCCACATAATTGTAATAGCATGTCTGGTGGATTGCCGCTCATCAACAATTGATGAAGACACATGATGGCAATAGATACGTTATGCGCCAAAACGTCGTCACACAGCATGGATACAATGCCCGGGAAAAGCGTAAAATTGAGGAACTTTTCTTGAAAGTACGATATAATACCCAACAAGGTATCGTTGTCGATCTGTCCATTTTCATAAACGAGTATCGACCGTTGAAGAAGCGTTGGCGCGGCTTGGAGTAATTGTTGAGGAGTCGAGAATCTAACATTATCATAGTTTGAGTACACCGTTTATTAATGATAAACGCTTATGTTTGAATACCTTAATAAATCATCCGAAATTCCATCACCAAGTAGAGCAGTTTGCCACTGTCGGATAAACTGATCCATAGCTAGGTCCTCCACATCTCGTCCGTAAATAAGCGGGCCTTGGGTGAAAAATTGATAGCAAAAGCCATCAACTTCTGAGAACACGCTGTCAATATTGACATAGAGCTTTAAAAAGATGTACATGTTTTTAATTGTAATGAATCGTACCCCCTGTCATGGCTGTAATTGTTAGTGCCATTCATATGTTAGTAACTTACATTGAATTTGTTCAAAACCAGGATGATTAGAGTCCAAATTTTGCCATATTTTCCGTATAGCACTTGTACACCATCTGTATCCTCATCGCTTGGGCTGTCAAAGCCGGATCGGCCATCGAGCTCCATTTCACTGTCAGCTGGCTTCCAATGGTTACACATTTGCTCGAGCGGGCCAAGAATGGTTACTGGATGGTATAGTTGGCCGATTACATCAATAATGGGCGGACATTTGTTGAGAGCATCACAGATCCGTGCAAGGGAATAGATGTCTCTCATCTCGGCCTTCTCGACTAGAAGCTAACCATTTTTTATGAGAAGCAAGTTAATACCATATATCAAAAGTCCCATATCTTTTAACTTATTGTTCCAGCTTACCTCGATAACGAAATCTATGATTCGGCGTGTATGAATCATGGATACGATAGCAATATGCAACAACTCTGTTATTGCGCTTCTCGAGATATTTTCTTTAATTGCATTCATCCGATCCTCCACATTCTATAATATACACGACATCGTATTAGGCACATGGACAATTGAAAAATATTATAGCAGTAGCAGTACCTTTGTTAAAATCTCCACATCTTCGTTTTTATGATGCTGCTTTGCATCCCCGCCATCCAAATCAAGCATATCAATATCGAACCCTTGGTCATTATCTTCCTGTTTTGTAGACGGTGTTGCGTTCTTCAACAGCGTTTGCGCAACGTTATCTCGTACAAAGCCATAATCTTGACATACTCGAACGATGCTAGTAAATATTTCCTCGTTGCCAACGTTCTTGATAGCCTTTGCTACAGCTGCCGTGTTCAGGTCGACTGTGCTCCCCATGTCATTGATCAACTTCATAAAATCGTCCTCTTCCTCCTCGTTTGTGCCAGAGGTCATCTTGTCGAAAAGTTTTGAGGATGTACTTGAGGCAAAGAATTCAAAGGTAGCCATGGGAGAGCTGCATCCATTCAGTAGACCAGCAAAAGAATGTAGTTCTGCAAGCGACGACTCCAGTGAGTTGTACTAGATACAACAGCGAAAGAAGACAAGAAAACTTAACATCAAGTGTGACAAACCATCGACAATGACCTGAGCAAATTACCTCTTGTCCTTCGGCTAAACCGTCTGGTCGTTTTACATATGCTTTGGCATCATCGCTTCCTTTACGCTCTTGAAGCTTTTTAATCAGGTAAGGAACCTTAATACCAAAGACGAAAAAAAAGCGCAATGAGAAGAATTAAAGCGATGTATCGCCCGAGAATTTGACAGCATTATCTTAACGTCGCTAATTCATCCATACCTTCACTAATACAAGGTTTCTCCACAGTAAACTATTTGTAGCAGTGATCACATCCAATTTTCCGGAATTCGAAATTGTCTGCTCTTGTTGATTTTCCTTTTTTGACAGAGACTCAGGTTTGTATAATCCAATGGATGCTTCTCGAAGCCCAGTCAAAGCGGCAAACCATATTTCCAAAAAGAATGATTCATCAAATGCTCCCTATGTATTATTTTGCCACATAAAGATTAATAAAGATTATCGACATGAATGTGTTATCTGATTTACCACAACGTGTCGCTAACTCACCTTGATAATTTGTAATTTCGATAAACAATCAATGATATAATCATCACTAAGTCCAGGTCGGATCTGTACCTATTACGTTACCAATACAGGAAGCAAGAAGAAAAATCATGTTAGAGAGCTTGTTGCATAAAATTACAGGCGGGCAAGTATCAGTATTCTTTACCATATGATACAAATATCCCATCAACCCTGCACTAGGTAATGCTCTAGCTGTTCCTTCATCTTCCAATTCTTGATATTTAAGATGCACAGCCATTCGACGATCGAGATCACGATCCGTTAACCGATTAATCATAAGCAACAATTTCTGAATGTGGGTATTTTGCGACATATCTGCGCTGGAAACCGAAGCTTGAGATGAAGGTACAGCGAGAATGGCTTGGCAGGTTGCCCAAGGCTCCTCTATAATATGTATGTCCCAAATATTACAATATGTGAGATTCTACTGCCCCTTCTTCTTCATCCTTGAACGAACCATCCAATCTTCCTTCAAACATACCAGCATGGCGCGCTTCTTTTTTCTCAGTTCTTTGTTGTTGATTGTTCATCATTTCAAATATCCGTTTTGCGCTTCTGTTTTCTATCAAATCGACAATAATCTGGGCCGCCCGTATAGCATTTGAACTTTCAATTCGTTCCGAGTCCATCATTGTCGACTGTGTAGAATCATGCGCGCTATAATGACCGTCTATACTACCGATGGCTTCCGTACTGACAGGTTCTTCAGCAAATGCGGCCAGATCAATCGTAGCGTCAGGATCAAATGCGGATGGTTGTGACATTGTAAAGTTGAACGGCAAGGATGATCCACCTGGCTGTGTGTTATTTAATTGGGATGCTGCTTGCTGCTGTGTAGCTGTAGCCATTTCATGTTCCATAGCCATCATGGTGGAGGACAACGGCGCTCCGTTGTCTTTGGCATAATAGTCGCGATAGAGTCCAACTGCAACCAAACGTGAAAGCATGATGAATACATTACATAATATGCGTGGCCATTCGTTGTTTGGCTTTTCGTTCAACAGGTCGGATACGATTTGATCGGCATTGACGACGGAAAGGACGGTAGGTAGACATTTCAGAATATGTGCCCATTGGCGTGGATTTTGGATCGCTGTTGTTTCGATACACTTCACGAGGCAGGTCAAGAATATCGGTGGTGGTATAAGGCATTCTCCAGCTTCAAACTGTTGCTGTTGCTGTTGTTGTTGGGCAAGATCTTCGTTGCCAGTAATTGCATAAGCGACGTATCGTTCCAAAAGGGGTTCACTGACCCGTGTTTGTGCAAAGAAACGATTCAACAATAATTCTAAACAATTATATATGAGTTTTGATCAGCAACAAAAATACACACATACACACACGTATGATTAACGTGGAAAAAATAGAAGAGTGGAGCCAAATGAAAGCATCAATCGAAACCAAGCTACATTACCACACAACTCAATAGTCGTTTTACGATCACCTTTTTTAAGGCATTGTCGCGTCGGTTCTGCCCACTAAGAAAGAATATTGTGCGTTAAAATCTGTGAAAGCTTCTCGCAACATGATTGAAGGATCTTTACTTTTTCGCAAGTATATCCGTTGACGTAGGCGAATCTGAGAACGGCTTCAAGAGGACGAGGTGACATTGTCCCTGGAAAAAAGCACCGTAAAACTGTCTGCCTGCGCACTCTCTCTATTCAAGTTCAGAAACGAATTTCGCGGTAACACAAGTCAGATCCGTCCTGTGTCTGTCTGTCAAATAATGAAATGCACAATCACACTTCTGCTGCTGTATCAGCCTTTGGTAACTAGAGCAGCCTATTTACATGCATCACTCTGAGAAGCGCTACTCGTATGACATCAAGTGATAAATCATTCGTTGACTCTCGGGGAGAAGATGCTACAAGATAATACTGCTACTACTACCGAGGGCCTGCTGTGTGTGCGTAATATTTAGCACATACGTATAAGGTGAGTTGACCACGCATTCAACGTTAAATACACTTTGATCCAATGATGGCTATTGCTGGTAGCGTTTTGAGATTGTAGTATGATATATCCAACCGTTATATAATGACAAGAGATGATACGAAGCTGCTAATAACATTAGTAGAGTAATGCATGTACCAACCGTATGTCGAGATACCGTCATTATCTCGCCGCTATGTAGCAGCCGAATATTTTTCAAAATCATTAAAGCGCTCGTTAGGAGCCTACAAAAGAGTGCCAACGTAACTCTCGATATCAAAAGACATAGTTGAGACATCTAAAAGTTTTTTTTTTATCTAAACGACGAGCGCAAGATACATGTATTAACAACGAGCAGCAGCAAAGCAAAAGGGCGTAACGTCGACAAGAAAACTGTTATGCATTACAAAGTAAGATGATATCGAGGTTTGTGATAATATCTGACCTGTGATCCGAAAACATGCACAACTACGATCACGATTTGAAAACAACAGGTTTTTTTATCTACCTGGTAATGCTGAGCGCCACTGGAACGTATTGGCTGCATCGATAACTTTACCACCCATTTTATGTAGGGGAAGATAAATTCTTTGTCATTCGCAGCCCGTATGGATGTGATGAAATAGAGCGCTTGAAGCAAAACGCATCATAACTCAAATGCATAACACAGCCACAACATTCCAGCGAAATCTTGTTGCCACCCGTCGATTTCTTGGCATAAATGCCACATGGAGATAAAGTAGGGGGTTAGGCAGCGATGATGCTTATTGATTACATCGAATGTATCGTAGATCAGTATCTCGTGTCTGCTTTACCATGCATATGCCTGCGAATAGCTCGACGACCTGACTGCTGCTTTATAAGGCTGTCCCGCAGGTTATTGCAGTAACAAAAGGTAACGCACTGTCTTGACAAGCAGTAAGGGCAGAAAGTAGGCTTTTTCTCTCATTCAATTGCAATATGCTCTATCAAGTGATCTTTCGGTGAGTTTTCCTCTTTATTTTTGCTTTGTTTCGGTAAATATCAATTCAGTAAATATCTCTCCACTGTGTCTTCTGTGACCCGACGTGTATATTTGAAATGAAGGCTCCTGAACAAAGTACATCGACACAAGGGGAAGGGGGTGGATGGGATTTTTTTCTTTTCGGCGATCGCGGCACAGGAGACAAAACACAAAGTAACTTGATGATCGCTTCCAGAATACAATACAGATAGAAAGATTTTATGTACAAAAGATGCATCTAGGAGAATCAAGGCCAAATGTCTCGATCTGCTTCTGACAACTGTATCTGAACTACAGAATCCTCCTCGTGCTGCTGCTGCTGCTGTTGCCTTTGATCTGTAGTGTTGTTACTACTGCTCGTAAGTGCTGTGCTGCCCGAGACTCGACTCTCACGCTCGAGCCTATCTGCACTTTTATGACTTATGCACCCGCCGGCACCTCGCCTAAACGGATTGACAAAGAGCTCGTCGTTCCATTGGAATCCTTCATGGCGTGCCATGACAATGATGGGTGCATGGCTTTGTGAGTGGGCCAAGAATGCCGGTTGTTGACCGTCCACACAATCATAGACCTTGTATTCATAGTCTTTGGTCATTGAGTTTGGGTGTTTCATTCTTTAATAAACCATTGGGGATCTTTTTTCTCAGAATTCAAACGAAAAAAGAGAGAATGTAGGTGCGTTTTTTAGTTTCAAACCGAGAATGGTAAGGATCATGCGTTTCAAAAAAAAAAAAAAAAATGCCGCTGGCTGCTTTTTTTTCCTTTATGTGTGTGGAACCACCCTGCACCCTCACTTTGCTCCTCCTCTTACTTCTTCCTTTTTCCACTTTTCAATGATCTTCTCACATCGCACTGTAAAGTCATTCCGGTTGTCAATTAGTCCAGGCGGATCCGAACGACTTGTTGCGTTTGGTCCGGGCGCTATTTTGAGCGGTAAACCTTATCGTTTCCCTTTCACGTCCGTCTCGCAATCATTCTTTTTTGAATTGCTTGATTCTCATTCTGGATCTCCACTTGTCATTCTCTTTTATTGGCTGTATTACTCTTAGGATCGGTGTTTCTTACACTTGACAAACCTTTAAGAGCGCACAACATTCGAGTCGCTTTTCGATGCGAACAAAAGAGCAACCGGGCTATCAAAACACTCTTCAATGTAGAGAGCATCATTTGGGGCAAGCCTCGGTCAGGTAGAGTTTGTTCATTGGCAACAACAACAACAGCAACAACAGTGACGCATGGGGTCAAATATGAGCATGTTCATTGATCCTGCTGCATATTTTCATGAAATATTTCCGACGAATACAGTCGATAGGGCAGCAGGTGATGAATTGAAAGAGGGTTGCCACATGTATCTGTTTGCCATCAAGTTGCCCAATGTGAACTATCCACCGTCGATGCAGGATAATGAGCTTTGTCACCGCGTCGACTATACTTTGCAAGGATTTCTTGATCTGCACGATCAACGGGCCATGGAGACAGCCCCTGCACGCGTCATGTATCTCCCGTTAATATCGTGCGTCACGGACGAGCTGCCACCCAAGGAAACGCAAGAGTTTAAGCGAGGCAGCAACAATCGACTACAGCTGACGCTACAGGCCGCCAGACCGGCCTATTGTCCAGGTGGGTAAATTCAAAAAGGGAATATTTATCCCAATTGGGTCAACAAAAGAAGATTCCCGTTTAACCAAAGTAGCTCCAAATCAGGCGACAACTGCACCGTCAAGCTGATCACAAAGAACAGGTCGGAGCACAAAATCTCGTCCTTCCAAGTGGCACTGGTGGCCATGGCAGGAGCAGCAGCAGCAGCAGCAGACAAAACCCACACCGTACACAGCGAAACCATCTATGCGCCCATGGGCAAGTATGCCAATAATACTTCCGTATGTAATTTCCAAATCCCATCCCACTGCGCACCGTCGCTCGGTAATATCACCTATCAGATTGTGGTCACGTTGCCGTGGGGCGCCTCAAGCTGGAAGTTTCCTTCTTCGTTGAATAACGTGAGCATCAGTATCCCGATCACCATTGCAACCGTCCCAGCAACATATCCTGTCCCTCCGCATCTGCAACTCCCGTTGCCCTCGTTTCTCCTCCAAGAAAACGGAGCCGCACTGCCTTCGTTTATACCAAACATTGAATCACCGGATCCGAGCCCGATGAGCCCCGTATCCATCGACGTCCACTCACCGTCTCCTTCTTTATCGCTCAACGAAAACACCGAAAACGACCACCAATCATTGGATGGAAGGACCCTATGTGATGGCTGGCCAGGTGGCGGTCACCATCATTATGCATCACCGTCAGCCCCTTCAGCTGTCGCCGGATATCTCACTGTTCCTGCATCATCGCCAAATCATCATCATCATCTTCTTCTTAGACGTTCATCGACAAGCTCCGTCCTCACAGACTGCAGCGCCGAAATCAATAGCGTGTATTCAGACTCTTCCTCCTGCACACGCGTGGCTGTACAATAGTACTTGTAGTAGTTAATCTAACATGGGTTTATTATAAATGCAAAGAAGAGAAACAAAAGAGGAATATGAACTGCTGCTGTGTGCGTGTGTATAGTGTGCGTGCGTGCGTTGGGGTTGGGTGATTGCTTTGAAGAAGAATGAGGTGGTGTGTGATAATGTGCTGGTATTAAATGTATGTAGGATGTGCGTGAAATGATGATAGTAATGATAATGACAATAACGATAAAATGAAAAAGACCATCTTCTATTGCTCCTGTACAAATCGATCCAAATGTTCGACATATCGCCATTTTAAAATCTCATTGCCATATGGCTTTGGCCGCACCTCAAAGAGCCTATTAGCAAGTGAAAATCATTAGCTGTTTTTTTTAAACGACATGTACGACTTGACCCTATATTGATTCTTACGTGTGCATTGGAACATCCATGTGTGGCATTTCCTCGCGTGACATGTCAGTAAGGTAGCCGAGCAGGATTCGCATTACAACTCGGTGAGTAATGATTAGACAGGACTGGCTCATTCGTTCCAGTTCGATAATCATGGATTGTGTTCGATGGATAACATCTAAAACAAGGTTTTCGCGCGTGTCGATATCAATCGCCACATGCAAACAACTTGCCCCCCCCCCTTAATATCCAAACGCCACGACGCTCTTACCCATATACGATTCACCGCCAATTCCCGGATAACGATAGAATAGCTTGTTTTGCTTTCGCATGTTGTATTCGTCAGGATAGACATTTGCAATCTCCTCGTATGTCATCCCTTCACATATCTGCACAGACGACATGTTAGAACCAACATCACCCCCATGTCCATTAATTTCTACGTGCCGTATTTTATATGCTGACTTACCGATGCATTTATTTCATTCAAGAAACGAATATGCTATAATGATGGGGGCATGTGTCAATCAGCATTCCAATAGAAGCATCCCCTACAATGCTGATATGTATATGATGTTTCTCTATGCTTGTTTGCCTTACCTTAATGTCGTATTCATCCGGATCAAAGTGCTGTGCTGTGGACATTGCTCGCTTCAACATGCTGGTCCATATGGTGAACTGTGAGTTACATATTGATGCCGCTTTTGCCTGCATGAGTTCTTCTGGAGTATGCGATCCGTCCGTCTTTTCCAATGGTTCCAGCCCTTTAGACTTCCAAATCTCTTCCCGTTCATGCTGTTCCTGCACCAGATCCAATGCAAATTGAACGCGCTGTTCCTTGATGAATCTGGCCAGTGCGTCTGCATATTTGCGACCAGCTGGAGATAGCTATAGAATTTTAGGCAAACTAGTTAGTAACCCAGAACGAACCCCTACTGTCATTAATACATATATACATGCATCCCGGTTCAAGCCAACTTTTACTATCACTATCCCCGGAATCCAAATACGAATGACATACGTCTGCATCACCACCAATGCGACCAGTTACATTATCTTCACTTTGGCCATGTCGAGTTAAAAAGATCTGACGTTCTATCAAAAGTATAGATAAAAATCGTAATTTAGGCCCTTCAGTGGAATCCAAAAAAAAAGTATTGCGTAACATGAACACAAACCTGCCAAATTAAAATTCATGAGGTAAAAGACGCATTGACCGGAAAGATAGCCTGATATATTGCAAGCAATGACTTTTTTACCGACATTGACCAACTTGCAATATTGAATGTCTCGCTCTTCTTCCCAGTCACCAATCGGCTGATATGCCTTTTCATAATTGGTCACTCGAGATTTGAAATCGGCCATTGCTTCGGCGGCAGGTCTATTTTTGTAATCCGGGCCGAGCAATTTGAGCCGAAAGTTGCGCTCGAGGATGCGTTCGTCGGTGCACAAGGATTCGAGCAGCAGCACGCGGATTTGTGGCTCTTGCTTGAGTCGCTTCAGTAATAATGCGCGTCGTTCGATCGTCGAGTTTGTTGCATCGTGGATAGCGACGCGTCCTCCTTCCTTGAGCCAAGTAATCAAATTTTCTAGCACATCCAAGGCGAGTTTGTCGCGAATCTGTTTCAGTTCTTCGTTATCGGGGTCAAAAAACTTGGCAGACTGCTCATGTTCGCTTTCGTGTTCACGGCGTAGATTGCCAACGTTAAAGACCTATGTTTTGGGAAAAGAGAGAGAGGTGTTACATTATCATCAAATCTATCGTCACTATTTTTTGTGTTGTGGGCATGCGTGGGTTGCCCTACTAGTACGGTTCACACGCACCCGTGTTCCTTTTTTATACATTACCTTGGTTTCGTACTGGAGCCAATTAAGATATCGTCGTAGCTTCTTGACAATGTAGCTTTTGCCTCGAGCAGGTAGTCCAACTAAACAATTGCATGAATGAAGTTTAAGTTTTTACCAGTCTTTCTGCGTGTGTGTGTGCCATATCCCTCTCTTTATCTCGGAAAAACATTACCCATGATAATAACCAGCTTTGCGTCCGCTTGCATCTCCTTATCTAGACCTAACAGAAATAACCGCAACACAGGGTTAATAGTTGCTGTATCATGCAAAAGGAAAAGAGAGTCATATAACTATCACAAAGCAAAAAGGCAAACGAGGCATACGTGGGGTAGTGACACTGTGCACTGCTCCGGGCACGTCAAAACCAGAACCGCGATGTTGTCGAGCGGCTGCCATTTCAAGAGGTGAATAGTTGTGGTTGTAGCTGATTTCTGGGGAAAGTTGTAACCATTGCATGGGCTCTTCGAGAGTGTGGTTTAACAAGTTTGCCGGTATGCGAGGAGCGACCGAGTTTGGAGTCGAGGCGGCTGTGGTCGTTGTGGTAGGTGTTGCGCAGGGAGATAGAGGTAAAAACGTTGGGGATTCGGAACCATTCATCTCAAGATCAGGTATTTGTCCTTGCCGACGAGTACTACTGCTGGGGTCTTTGGACGACGAGGGAAAACAAGTAATGCATGAATACGTCTGTCCCATTTTTTAGAGGGTTTTTTTTTTCGCTTTCAGACTAAATGGTATCAAGTCACGTCCGCTCTTGAGCCCGCCGTCCTTTTTATATGATACATGCCTTTCTTTTCGTTTTTTATTAAAAAGTGGCGTCATGGTAGATATAGAAGTTACAGTTATTGCCTCCATTTCCCTTTTTGTCTGCCCTCTGAACAATTTCTCTATTGACGACGGCTGTTTGTTTGCTCCTAGTGCCTATCCTTTGGCTTACTACAGTTTATGAAAGGGGATATATTCTACTTTCTTTCTTATCGGTCGGAGATACAACAAACCAACTGGGAAGTATGCCCGGGAAAGACAGCCTTTTGTGCCTTGCCTGAATATTATGCAATGGAAATAATGACTTGTTTTCATATGCTGTCAAAAAAAAAATCAGATGTCAAATAAGAAAAAGATCATCGGCGCACACACCCAAATATGCTGCTCAGCACACAAAAATTTATAACAACAATCTATATACGTTATGTTACCAGGCTGAGGTGGTTTTCCGTCGGCTCCATTTCCGTCAGACTGAGTTGAGCGTGTTGAATGGTGATGATGAATGTGTGTGTACCACATGATCCGGCCTGCTTTGCCCTGTACCACTTATTCTTGTCTTGATGTAATCTTGGCAAGAGAAACAACCAGGTGTTTATATAAGCATAAACAATTGGTCCCCTTTTTGGATAACCCTTTTCCCTCCCTCCCCTTTATGCTTTTCTGAGGGATGCGATAACTGTTAGACAAGTGTTTTTTCTTAGAAATATCACATTCATCCGACTCAACTTGAAAAACTAGCTACATGCACATGTAACAAGCCAGCAATGGGGACTACCCCAATCGAACCAAAGTAGCTTGGTATCCATATCGGTGTATTTACAAAATACCGTTAAGGGCATCCTGGCTGTGGTTGTTGAATAATTTCCAAGGGTTCTATATGTTCTTTATTTTTGACAACAAACAATGTCTTGGACGTCATTTTTAATAACTGTCTATACCTTCAACTCTATAAAAAAAACTTACATTTTTTATGTAATTCCGTTTTTCCTCCTTCCCAGCATTACACAAGTTTTTCTACCAAAAACCAAAAAGCACTTTTTCTGAGTCGGAGACCAAAGAAGTGTAATCCAAGGGTCTCAGGTACATACAGTCCGATATGACAACCTGGTCGGATCGAGGTATGAGCGGATGCTCAAATTCATAGTATTACAGTGGTATATAGCATATATAAAGATGGTTTTGGTAGGGTAAATAGTTACTTACCTTGGTTTAACATATTGATCTTTTTTTTTGCTCTGTAGCGCCTAGTCATGGCAGCTAATTAGTAACTATGACAACCACATTACAGGCATTGCAACATAAGACGGTACCATAACAACCGTATAGAGTAGCCTCGGCAACAAACGATCTTAAAAAGGAACTGAAACATTGTAGCTGTTCCTAGCACTCATCAACTACTGTCATATTAGCTGTCATATTTTTTTTGAAATATGAATGTGAGCCAAAAGAGATTGTTGCGCAAAAATCAGCTTGACAAAGGCCCAAAAATGAGAATGCGTTCGGTATATATTTCCACTCTGTATTATTTGTCGGTAAACAGAATAGAATTCGTCGTCTCTGTCACCATCCGCTCCAGATCAGCCGTAGTACATGTACAATGCCCTTTTCTTATTTTTTCTATAATCAAAAATAATATTACCTTAAACGCTGTCATTATTGCGTTATGAGTTTTACGATCCGAAGAGCTCTACAGTTCGGATGATTGTGCCAGCCCTATTATAATAGTTCGTTTGTACGCGACGATATACTAAAATAGGTTACCTTCTCCTACTTGATACAGTAGAAGAGTGAATATTTTTTGAAGATAAATAGCACTATGTAATACATGGAGCGAGAGGATGGAGCTGCAGTAACTTGATATAAAACTGCACATGATGCAAACATGATAGTTTCCTACAAAGTAGTTCTCTTCGCGACCTTCTTTGGAAATAGCTGTCATACAACCCACTTTATAGCTCTTTTTTCGAGTCCGTACCGACCGGGTCCGATTTACACATGCGATGTTAACATGCGCAAAAAAAGTTCCTAACCTACATACAATATGTGTTATGCCAATCGGAGGTGCAACGGCTGAGTCGCGACAAGCAGCTTTATTATTGTTTGACCACATTGCCACTGCAGAACATTATGTCGTTCGTTTATACTTGCTCTCAGATTGGGAAGATGCATTATCAACAAACAAACTCTTAGTGGCTTAATGGACATTCTGTGTCAACTACGTCATTTGTAGGCTGAGTTCTGCAGTACTTTTTGCTTACTAGATATCAACCTTGTTGTGTGAGTGTAGTACATCCATCAGACGTCATGGCACAAGACCATTTACTAGTCTCTGCTCGTTTTTTTTATAAAAGATTATATAAGATGAAGAGAAACAGTTTGGAGCGCAGCACATAAAAAACAACCAACGAATCAAGCCAGAGTCTAGTTTAGCTTTGCGTGCCAAAACTATGTTGCACCTCACTCGTAGTTGGCCAAAACCGCCCATGACAACAACGACAGCAGCAGCAGCAGCAGCGAGAAATTCCAGAAAAATTCTGCGACTTCCAATCCGAATTAGATCGCTCCTCGCAACGAACCGAGAGCTTTGTCAAGTGTGTCTGACCTTCAGCAGAATCCCAGAAGAAAACAAGGTTAGCAATATAGCAAAGGAAACCCTTCTACAATGACAAACCAATAATGTGTCTCGGTTAAATTCCGCTCTTGCCTATTTGTTTTTTTTTTCTTCTCAGCCCTTACAAGATGCTTGCTCTGTGTTTTCTGCTGAGTCGGACAAACAAGCCCTAAAATACTCCAGGGTTTATGTCTAATATGGCAACCCTGGATCGACGTTTTGGCGGGAAAAGGTCAGTTTCTGCCCGCTTTTAGTCTAGTGTAAAGTAATATACTACAAATGGTTTGAGAGCTGATCCGTGTAAAAAAAAAAAAAAAACCTCCAGAAAGTAATAATAACGTTTTACAAAAGTGCAAGTAGCAGAAGACTGTAAAAAATACATCCACACAACATGCCCCACTTTAGCCACAGCGTAGTAACCTTTACAGGATTCTCTTGTTTGCTTATTTGTCATCTGAACTGTCAGGGCTCCTATGCACTTTTGATCGTCCTTTCAACCGATCTGTTTCTGTGAATTTCCCAAAACAAGTGAAACGGTGCCCTTGCGTTTTGTGACAAGATCCGCTTAAAAAAGTTGAGTAGTTCGGTCTTACAGAAACCGACAGTTCTTTGCGTTGTGTACCACTCACTTCCTACTACCACTTGTACATTTAGGAAGTTAAAAACAAAAAAAGGTTTTAGGTACCATAACAATGACGTTGTCTAAAATACCAAGGACATGCGGCGATGCAAAATGTACAAACCGGGTTTCTTGTGTATAACTCTCTTGTTCACAATTTGCGGGGCGATAACAGGGAAAAAAGTTGGTGATAATACTTGGACTATCAGCTGAAAGGCTAACGGTTAAGCCGTTGTGTGTTACCAAATGCAAGCACTTGAAAGCAGCTGCTCACAATAATAAACACGCTACTCCTTCTTGCTCTTGTTTGTCTCTTCCTCTTTACACCAGATATCTGTCTTCGCATGTCAATGGCCCGGTGAGCATCAAGAGTGGACTCTGATCTAACCCAGCCTTTACTAGACAAGTACAGGCCACTAGGTGCTCAACTGACCAACTATTCGTGGTCTTTAGAAAAAACGGAATTTCTTTATTAACCCAATGGAATGTTGCGGGAGAAAAAAAAACTTTTCCTTTTTATCATCTTTATTCGCCATATTGGTCCAACGAACCTGTTTAAATCAGGGCAAAAAAATTACTTTTACATCATCCCAATGCACATATATACACAGCACGCGTGCACAATACATGCAGTGACTGCATATGTGCGCCCCAGGTGATTGACGACATATACACAATCGATAAGGATTCTTGCATATGTTTGCATACAACATATTGGGGGAAGGGTTTACTTGTTCCATCATCACATATCTTCACACGTTAAAAAAAACGCAGAAAACATGTTTTTGCTCTTTTTGATCCCGTTGGTTGGACAGAAAAGTACCAAAAAACTTTAAATTTTCTGTATCAAAACAGTGAAACCTAACAAGCGGAAAATCATGAGGACAAGTGTCGTAAAATAAAAGCATCCAAACCAGGCTAATCAGGGGAACCTACATCCGCCGCATGTGGGGGGAGGGAAGAGAGAAACAGAGAGAGCAAGCGCCCCAGCCGAGATTCAAAGCAAACCAAAAATAAAATCCCAGTATAATACGGCGGTACTGTACGCTGCACATTTTAGAAGCAGTACAGTACCGATATACTACAGCCGCGCTGGATGCTGTATAATACTACTAACCGCCGGAACAGGGTTACCTTTGGACTCGGGCGCCCTTGCTCCATCCTCTATTTTTTTTTTTTTGCAGCTGTTCTTTATCCTCTTTTTTTTTCCTTCCCTTGCGGATCTTTTTGGTTTCATAATATTTTTTAAAAAATCAATCTAGCATCAAAAGTCGAACATCAAGGTCGACGATCCATAGAGTAATTATTTTCGCCTAAAACGACCAATTTTCCCCGAAATTCAGCCAATCGTACCAGCAGTTACCAGCGAATCCCGCTCCTTTCCTTAAAGGTGTGCGATTGACATCAGCATTCGTTTCACAGACCGGTTTTAGAGGAATACAGATCTTCTCTCCGCTGTCGGCAAAACGTTTAGATCAAATTCACTGAACAAGAGTATAAAAGCACGGACTTAGTGGAGACAATTGTGGGGAACTTTGATCTCGCCGTCATGGTAAACTTATTGAAGCTCAAAGGTAATGCTCTGTTCAGAGCATCCACCGCAATGGCTGGTGTTGGTTTCTTGCTCTTCGGTTACGATCAGGTATGGCATACAATCAATGGTCTCCTTTATATCTCTTTGCTAGGGTTGATTTCTCTTGCAAAAATAATGGATGTTAACCAAACCGACACGTTTGATACCATCATCATCATCATCATCAGGGCGTCATGTCCGGTGTCGTAGCAAACGATAACTTTAAATACTACATGGGTATGGAGACTGAGGAAGACTACAATTCTGCCTTGATGGGAGCTATTGTCGCCCTATACGAAATTGGTTGTATGGCTGGTGCCTTGTCGACTGGTAAGTCTTTTCAAAGAAAGAAAAAGTCCCCTTCTCTCTCTTTCTCGCTTCAAGCTTTTTATAGACAAGCTAACTTACACACACAACGCTTTGCTTGTTTGTTTACTACAGGTAAGGTCGGTGATTGGCTTGGTCGTCGTAAAACGATCCGTCTTGGTTGCTTTATTCTCTGCGTTGGTGCTGTTATTCAAACTGCCTCTGTCAATGTTGGCATGATGATTTTCGCTCGTATTTTCACTGGTGTCGGCAACGGTCTGAACACTGCTACCATCCCTGTATACCAAGCCGAACTTTCGCCACCCAAGAACCGTGGTGCTCACGTCGCTTTCGAAGCATCTTTGCTTGCTTTCGGTGTCGGTATTGCCTACTGGCTCGAATTTGGTCTTTACTTTGTCCATGGTGAATTCCCATGGAGATTCCCGTTGGCTTTCCAGATGGTCTTTGGTATCATCCTCGGTGTCGGTACTTACTTCTTGCCCGAATCCCCACGTTGGTTGCAGAGCCACGGTCATGAGGACGAATGTAAGCTTGTCTTGGCTCGCCTCTGGACCGATGAGGATACCACCCATCCTCGCTGTGTCTCCTTGTGGGAGGAAATCCGCGACGGTATCGAGCTTGAACGCCGTGAAGGTATCAGATCTTACAAGGAACTCTTCAGCAAGGGTAGAATGAACAACCGCTACCGTGTATTCCTCGGTATGGGTGGTCAATTCATGCAACAGTTTGGTGGTATCAACGGTAAGTTTACTGTTTTTTGCACATGTCTTGCATATGCATGACTTCAAACAAATGTGAATTAATCATCATCTTCTCCATGCATCAACAATAGTCATCTCGTACTATCTCACGGATATTTTCTTGCAAGCCGGTATGAATCACGCTATGGCCATGTTGATGGCCGGTGTTGATTCCATCTTTTACTTCCTTGGTGCTTTGACTCCTATCTACACTGTCGATCGTTATGGTCGTCGTTTCCTCATGTATGCCGGTTTGATCGGTCAGGCCGTCACCCTTATCATTGTTGGTGCTGCTCAGTACTGTGTCGAACGTGGTGACACCCGTGCTTCCCCCGCCGTCATTGTCTTTGTCATCTTGTACAATGCCATCTTTGGTGCTGCTTGGTTGGGTCTTGCATGGCTCTATCCCTCTGAAATTTTCCCCACTGCCTTGCGTGCCAAGGGCAACAGTATGAGTACTGGCGCGTACGTTGATTGAATTTCTTTTCTCGTTCTCTGTTCCGCGCAAGTTACTTTGAAGCTAACTTCCATCATCCTATTTTATCTAGAAATTGGCTTGGTAACTTTGTTGTTGCTATGATTGCCCCTGTTCTTTTCGAATATGCAAAGTACTGGACTTTCTTGTTGTTTGGTATCCTCAACGTCATTTTCCTGATCCCTATCTACTTGTGGTACCCCGAGACCAACGGCAAGTCCTTGGAAGAAATCGAGGTTCTATTTGCCACCGAAGACTTCAAGGCCGATGCTCGCTCCATTGCTCCTTCGATCGGTGCTTCTTCTCAGTATGATGAAAAGCGCGGTGATGTCGAGCGTGGCTCCCGCGTCCCTAGCGTTGCTAGCCGCCCTGCATCGCGCCGCATTCCAAGCAATGTCTCTGTTCCCCAGGACGGTGCCAAAGAGCAACCCGATCCTAGCTCTGCCGCTGGTCAAGTCAAGCAAGACTATGACGAGAAGGCCGATGGTCCCAACTACAAGTAGAAAACAGTTATATAGTTCTATCTCTAATTTCTTCTCTCTCCACACACTGCCATAATCACTCTTGTTCATTTCTCCTCTCCTCTGCAATTACCCTTTCTCCCTTTTACGTTTATCTCACTTATAGTCTTTTTTTATTGTTAATCCGCTTATATCTTGGGGCTGTGCCCTTGTAATTTTTTATCAAATACAATATTATACATATCCAACACCAGTGTAATTTCTATCAAAATACAATATGATACATATTCAACATCAGTATATTTTTAAAAGCGCGGTTTGGCCCGAGATCACTTGTATGTTAGTGCCTGTGTGTTTGAAAACTCTCTTGGTGTACCCATCCTACGTACCCCAAGTTTTAGTTAGCGGCCAAGCAATTCAAAGCTAGCATTAGATTCTCACATGTTTTGTGGGGGTGCATTTGGTGGTGGATTAAGTGCTGATGAATACGGTGTCCATTCTCATTGTTAAACGAAAGAGTCACATATATATAGGAACTTGGCCGTAGGTTTGTTGCTTTCCAGATGGTCGCAAAGCGTTCAGTATGTCGATTAAAGCATCACATATCTAGGCAGACACAATATAACTCTTTAGTTTTTTTCGTTGATGTCAATGACAATTCCTCTGAACTTGGCTTGCTTGCTGACTCTGCACGAATTCCACTTACAGATTTTCTTTTCGCGAAAGCCGCTACTAGATCAGTACAATTATTCTTTTTGTTGTCCCTTTCGACAAAAGATAACCTTTCTTATTCGCCTACATGTTTCCAAATAACTCTGACTGATCAACTTGTTGACCTTTTTGAGAGCCATGTTATTTATACAAAAGACAATTTTTGGTTTGTAAGATTCTCCATATATGCGATACGGGGCCGCACTAAAGCAATTACAGCACCTCGAATCCACCAGCGCTTCAACCTAAGAGTGCTTCAATGTTGAGCTTTCGGAGAATGTTAGCAATTCTCCCATGGTCATTTCTTGGTAGTCTATCGCAAAGCTCAATGCCATGGATCTGTTGAATGTTTTTCCCTATTCACCCAATGCTATCCTAGGCATAATAGCGGCGCGAGAAGCAAGAGCTTTCACCCAAGTCCTTTTGTAATTCTTCAATAAAGGATCATCACAAGGACGCGTATACATTCCATGATATCTTTATACTGCTAACATTCAACATTTTTGACATCTTTTCTTGTGATGTCTCATCCTTACGCGCGCGGGGACAGGACCGAATAGTGCCAGATTTTGTTACACTCTTTTCTTCCATTCTTTCTAGGCGCATACCGCAGAGACACACACGTGTAAATCCCTCCAATTCGGATTGCAATGGTTTTTAGACGGGCGCATAACTCGCGGGGTTATAGCGGAGCCCACCCTCAAATAATAAAACTTTTTGGGGGGCGATAGATATGTTATAATAGAATGGTTCGATCCGTTATGTATGACGAATCTTATTCTTTTTGTTTAGCTTTTGATTATTGCGCTTGTGTTGCGTACTGGGACGAAGCAATATTATATAAATTCACAACTGGTAAACAAGGTCACTCATCGATATTATATGTTGCAGCGTTTACTGTTTTTGTTAATTTAGGAATATCGCTAAGTATGGGTAATTTTGTGGTTGTATTGTCGGCTGGTGCCACAAAAAAACGTCGACCAGGAAGCGTTGTACATATTTGGCCAAGCTCCGAAATGGCATAAAAAAGTCATAGCGTCGTTTGACTGGAATTCAAAATGGCGGGACGACGATACGTTGTTGGGGGGAGAAAAGAAAAGTTTCCGGGGGGGAGGGTGAAGGAAAACGGAAGAGAAAATTAGAGTTTAGAGAGGTGGCTCATCTTGCTACAGAAAGAGAGCATGAGTAGATGTCACTAACGTCGCTTTACAACATTTGACACATGTGAAGAAAACGTAGAAAATCAAAGTTTATAATTGTTCTTTAGACTTGTAATAGGTAATTTTAAATTCAAATTTGGGGAGATCTGAACCAGGGACCAGATCAGGGTACTGTTTCCCCCCCCAACCAACACCCGACCTAGTGATTTCTAATGCAAATCCCTAATACCGGCAGCCCGTTCTCTCATTAACGGCACGCAATACAGTTTACCCGTGGGTAAAATTGGGCACCACGGAGAATAGCATGGATTATTAGTATGCCATTTTCACTTGTTTTATTGTAATAGGAAAAAAAAAGTTACCAAAGATGAAGCTCTCATTGTAGCACGCATGCGAGGAGTAAATTTGGTCTAGTGACAAAATAAATACACAGATCAGACTGATGATGACAGCAAGATGCCGCAGCTAGTACAGTATCACTCCAACCAAGAATACATTCTAGGAGTATATAAAGCTCCGTAGAACTAGTAACATGTTGGAACGAAAAGGAGATATATTGGCCACACATTTGCAAATATAGAGGCAACACATGTCTCTTCTATCGACTGCTATGCAATGCGAGCCTGTTTGAAACTTTATCCACATAACTTTCTCATCGCTACAGACCGATTGAACTTGGTGAGAGGTGAGTGGGGCTTAGCACATGAATTAGTGACAAATACATTGGGTTTACACTGCTACTGTAACTGCTGCTATTGCAGGCGGTAGGATCACAATGTTTAAATATGTATAAACAACATGTGCGATAAGAGAATACATGGCGCAGTGAAGACAGTAATAACGTAAATTTTCGAAATCGTGGGAATAGGGGTGTACCCATGTTTTTACTGCATTGTTGCCTTTAAACATGTTGAACGCGCTAATTCATATAGATCGACTCATGTCATCAGCATTTACTTACGACTGTTAAAGCAAGCGACCATAGGGGGGGTGGTTGCAAGCTCGTTTCTGTCATTACGTACCCCAGCTTTTTTTTTACTCCACATCGTGGTGTTCTGTATGGGGTAAATCCAGCTCAGCTCTCATGACGACGTGTTCCTTGCTAGAACTCTTGCAGAAATTCTTACAGAAAAATAAAAATACCGAGTATATCAATAGATTAGTAATTAGTCCCGCTTTTTCTGGAAAAGTTTTATCCACACACAATTGCATTCGCTGTACATATAAGCCAACGAATCAGTCTGGGAGTCATCTGTTAGATGGTTAAAAAAAATCTGGCACTTTATCACCAGTGGCCTCATGATATTCTGAAATCGCTGTTGGTGGCCCAAGTAAAGTATACAGATGTTTGGCATGAATGCAAGCATTTAAAAGCACTACACCAATTTCCGTTTTACCTTTTGCCTAGGACGGGATATTTTCAGCCGCTTCCCCGATTGCTTTCCCTCAAAACGAAGATGCCTCGTTGTGATATCTAGCAGTTCCTTAGTTCTGGCTAGTACATTGATCTTTCTATATAATGACTTCGAGCCGCATCATATTATTCTTGTACATAATGCTCGCTATAATGATATTTTGGTCATGAGACTTATCGTCATGTCATTATTCTTCAAGGACCAGGAAACATCGATTGAACGCTACACATAATGATAGAGCAATTTAAAGTAGCTTTGCCTCTATCTTAGATATGTAGCTGCAGTATGTACTTTTGTTTGTTGGATAATTTCTCAATGAAGAACCCAACTCCAACTGCTGTATAGCATTGATTCAACACAAAGCTCACGTTGATATGCCATTCTCTTTATTAGTCCTGAAGTATGCAATAATGATCGAGATTAAGCTGGAATCTCATCATAGCATGCTATTTAATGATATAAAACGGCGGAAGCATACCATCGATACTCCTTTTAACCTTGCCGCGATATTTACGCGATATTTATGAAAGTGAGAGGCGATAGCTTACTTTGGGTTCGTTTCTCTAATTCGAATGAATAGCACACTGCGCAATCTATAGCTCAGTTGTTGGAGATAGTAGTAGCATTACACGACATGAATCAAAATACTGGAAACCTGTTTCTTGACGAGGCGCTCGATAACGAACGGAAAATTTGTATTCCATACTTTCTAATGTCTGTCATTTTATACTGCTAGTTCTGCTCGTGTTATTATTGATACACTGGCCTATGGGATAAAGTGCGAGTACAGTAGTAACGTCGAAAGACAGTTGCATGAGAGATTGGTGGCAAGACCCAACAAGTTGGATGATGTAACTATTCTAATGAGCTTATATACTGGGTCTTTTATACTGGAAAGAATTCAAGGCGAACATCATTTGTTTATCCCTATATCGCGTGTCAAAGTTGAACATTTGTTGCGTTGGCGATCTGGTTCGTGTATATGTGAATATAAAGATGGTCTGTTTGCTTTGCGATACGGTTTTTTATTTTGCCACCAGCAATTTGCAATCATTGTTGTATAGTCGTGAAGGTAAACCAGCTGTATTGTTTTTGAGAGCACACATGCGAATGCACAGGCTATGGTTTTCTCGACGACTCAAGCACAAAAAGGCTCATTTGCAACTACATAACTGCTCCAGAGAAAGCACCAACAAGTACCAAGCGCAATGGCAGTAGGAAGATATAAAATAAAGATCGCGTTTTATTACAATCGTCACTCGATCTGCCCAATAGTTACAATTACATTATTTAAAAAAAACAATAAGAAACCAAGTTTATTTAATGTTGCTTGACAAGTCCACCGACTTTTATGAATCCTTCGTTCCTCAAGGGAGGTTGCCCTCCCTTGTTCCCCGCAAGCCTCAGTTCCCGGCAGAACCTACTCCTCCCTTTCTTGTCCGCAAGCCTCAGTTCCCGACAGAACCTACTCCTCCACAGTTCCTACAATTAAAAGAAATAGCACAAAGGTCTGTCAGCGGCGAACATATACGTACCTCTTTGCACACACTCTCGCTTTCAGTTTTTGAGGAAGATAAAAAACCAAGATGAAACTTAGAACTTTGCAACTGTACAAAAGATGAGCAAGAGCCAGTCGTGCACGACTAGCTCCCTTCAACTATGTACACCCACAGGGCCCCTCGTCCGAGATAAAAAAAAAAGAAAGGTAAAAAGTGATAATGAAAGAAACACTGCAAATGTACAAAGATGAATAAGAGCCAGTCGTGCACGACTAGCTCCCTTCAACTAAGTACACCCACAGGGACATTCGTCCTGGATAAAAAAAAAAAGAAAGGTAAAAAGTGATAATGAAAGAAACACTGCAAATGCACAAAGATGAATAAGAGCCAGTCGTGCACGACTAGCTCCCTGCATCTTTATACACCCACATTGCAAATGCACAAAGTTGAATAAGAGCCAGTCGTGCACGACTAGCTCCCTTCAACTAAGTACACCCACAGGGCCCCTCGTCCTAGATAAAAAAAAAGAAAGGTAAAAAGTGATAATGAAAGAAACACTGCAAATGTACAAAGATGATTATGAAGACTAAAGAAAAGAATAAAGGGCAAAACGCGCAGTCGATTCTTTTTTTTTTATGAGCCCGATAAACAAAAAGACGGAGTTTAGAAATTTTGTTGTCACTACTGCCCTAAGGAGCCAGTGAACTGCAGCAATGTGAAGAAGTGCCTTGATGATAATTATCGTTGTAGTCTGACGACTGTCATGCTAGTGTCTTTTTCTTATGGTGCGTATATGTTTGTTTCACTATGCGGCTCCGCTTGCCGTGCTCCGCTCTGATCCAACAATTGTCGGCGACGGGTCTGTGCGCTTTAATGGAACAAAGAACCGGCGATATAAAAAGAATTCATTTTACCATTGGACAAACTGTGTGTTAAGCTGAAGCACCACAGCAGCATTATGCTTGTATGGATTGTACAGTTTACGTGCATAGAGCGCTCGTTACTCCTAATGATACCTCAACGGATGCAGCAGCCTGCGGTCGTCAATTTATTGAGTAAAAGATCCTATAATCAATATCCGGTAGAATTGGATATCCTTGAAATCAAAAACTAATAAGGAACCGGCGAGTGTGAAGATGCTGAGAAGCATTTGTACAACAGCAGCCAACTTATGAGGTGAACGGATTGCTGATGTTACTGCTGGCCCAGCTACAAGTGCGATTATTCTTGTGTGTGCCCTCGTCAAAAACTACGATCGCGTCAAGTCAGTATCCGAGCGCGCGAGTTTGAACAGAATCGAACAGAAGACGGCAGCAGAGGGCGACCTCGAAGCTGTGGGCGTGTGATACGCAACGCCATTCACAGTAATCATAGACTTTAAAGCACAGTATTTTGGTATCGCTCATGACAGGTACAGCTGTGGGTCGCTCGTTGTCACGTTTATGCAGTATGGAGAGCCAGCAGGATTATTTGCGTGGTGGTTCTCAATCAGGCATGTCTGAGTGATCGCTACAATGACCGCCACTGCCATCTTCATCAACAGCTACAGGTATGGCCGGTGCTGCTGGAGCTGGCGGACTGGCTGTCGCTACATACAACGACATTAAAAATCGGCAACCCAAGGTGGAGGAACAGCCTGTGGATCCCGCAACATTTGAAGATTAACAGTACTATGGCAACCTGGCTATTGGACCCTCTTCTCCGACGCATGCCATTGCGGATAAACATGACAACAATAGAGTTCAGGCAGGACAACAGGAGCAATATGATCCATATCGACCCAATCCACATGCTAGCTGGTTGTCTCAAGCATCCGCTATCAATCCTCTCAGTACAGCAATTACATACAACTACGCTACACAACTACGCCAAGCTTCTGCAGCAATCCCATCAGTCGAATGACCTCCTACTACTGTCATCCGCGAATCCACCTTTAACAATCTCCATGCACCCATCTTCCATGTCAGTGCTCCGCCAGAAGACAATACGGTACCAGCTGGTGGTGGTGCCTATGTTCCAGCACTTGCACCTACTATCCATGATCAATCACGCCAATCACCTGAGATGGATGCTTTTGGAGGCAACGGCGGCGGCGGTGACGGTGGCAAGCGAGGAAGCTGGCTCTTGAAGGGAATTGCAGCATGATGGCAGCAAGGATCGGCTACGGGCGCACGTGCATCTGGCATCACAGCAACGACCGATGCAAGCAGTGACAATAACGATAGTTCTACTTCCAATACCACTGACGAGTCTAAGCAGCAGAGACCTCAACACATTCAAACAGATTCTGACGATAACAGCAATATTAACAAAGGGTGAATGTTATGGGACGACGCATTAGCAAGCGCTGGCGATAGTACAGCAGCGCACTCAGCTTCAACAGCATCGACCCACCCATTCCGTAGCAGCATGTCTGATCCTCGTGATAGCGTCAAATTCAGCCTTACGTATACCACCTATTCAAGAAGATGCTTGGTCTTTCGAATTATTCTGTCATGTCCAGTGACGATAACCCTGTTGCTACTAACATACCAAAGGAAACAACAATAATAATGATACCTCGCCAACAATGCAGCAACAGCATCATCAGTAACCTGTTCATCGCAATACACGAGTCAGATTTTAAATATGATAGACAAAGTTTTTTTATGCAATGGTTTTTTCATTTTGTAACAATATTTCTGTTATGTAGAAGCAAGGCCATTCTTTTATTTTATTTTCAAATAATTCACCGGTTTACATGAATATATATATATATATATATTCTTGTGATGCTTCTCGCCGATCAATGAAAATTGCAGTCATAAGTTCTGTTTAGTAAAAAAGGTAGATACAATTTCGAACCAGAAATTAACGCAAGATGCACAATATCACGGATTGCATCTGTTATAGTCCCCTCTTCCATAGTTGCTGATGAGGACTTTTAACGCGCGTATAATACGTGGGAGCTTGTTATACATAGCTTAGTGATTCATATAATCGATGGTTTTTTTTCCAAAGCGTGACACTCCAACATAATTGCCGTGTATTCCTCCGTCTTTGCAGCTGCTTCGAGTGCCTGCACTAACTTACGACCCAACGCCGTTGCACCGTGCTTGTGAAAGACCTGGAAATCGACCGAGTATATCCACACTACTGTCATCTTCGGATGAAACTACTGTAAACTTATTGATCCAATCGGGTTTTCCTTATCATCATTCCCTACTTTTGATACTTTCTCCAGAGTATTGATATCGAGTTAGCATCGAGCAAATTAAAAATCCAAAGTAGCTTCACTAAATTACATGAAGAATCTCAGTAGTATAGCTCCATGTAATTTCGAGACTTCGACGCTCACAGAAAATTTGTACGGACCTCGCCACATTTCTGAATGTCTTTTGAAAACCGGCTTGCTGGATGCAGTTATCGGCGTAGTTTGATAAAGAAGTACCGTCAGCGATCATGGCAAGACAAGGGAAGGGATTGAACCCAATTGGCTTCCACTTCAAAATTAATAAATAAAAGTTAAAACACATCAAATTTTGACTCATCATTAGCACGTAACAACTCGCCTATACAAACTTGGCAACTTTGGCGCCGGTGATTGCTATTGGAGATAAAAGGTATTCGGGATAACTTAGTGTGATTATAAGCAGGTGATGGTACATTCCATATTCAATCTATCTATGAGTATTACTAGTATACGCGTATCAATAATTCTGTAGATGAGGGCATCAAATGGCAAGCGCATTACAACAGCGTTACCAACGCTATGCATTGATAATTTTTTTGGGAGAAAACGGCGACGTTAAGTATAGTTTCAATCGATTGACAGAGCTCTAGACTATCTCCCATGCAGCAATAATAGCCGTTAAGGTCTGCTATGATATGAAAATAAAACTGGCGTTTATGCTATGTTGTTACATGACATTTCATATTGTGGCTAGCTGACTTTTAACGACCAACATGGATACCTCTAATGCAAATACATGTATGGTGGCCTTGATTCTCACCTTAAAAGATAAAGAGCATTTGCTTTTTAAGGCATTTTGCTATTCGGGACAATATGCCAGTCGGCGTCTTTCAAGCTAAACTGAGCGGTTCCACAGCAAAATTCAAGTAAGTAATGATGGCTTTTCAGTTTTGACATAACATAAATTCATTACAAACTGAAAGTGAGGCGAGCCTTGAAAATCTGTCTTGTATAACGAGAAAAGTACACATGAGAAAGCAAGGGTTCTCCAAACTCAAGTCCGTCGCTTTATGTAACACCTGAACTCGATGCATGAAATCCAAACTGGGTTTAATTAGTAGCGGCAGTATGTTCAAGTCTGATGATCAGACGTTTCGAGCCAAAGAGCAGTTCTATACTGATTGCCTTTGGTTGCCGTTATCTAGCCGATTACAACAAGTTTATAAATGAATGGGCACTAGTTGTGAGCTAAATTTTGGATGTAAATGCGTCAACTGCTCATAACATTTTCGCTTTTGTTTGCATTACTTTGCGCAGGGAACTTTGTGTTTCTTTTGGGTACTGCACAGCGCACAGCCCAAAGTTGAGTTTAATCTCAGCACGGTTCGCAGCCATGAGCTAAAAGTGCTTACGCACGCAATCTTCAACGAATACTAATAACCCACCATGGCCGATACTGAAGAGAAGAAGACCGTTCAAAAGGAAGAGCAGGTACGATCATTTAGATGGATGGATACGGATGATTGATCAAATATCTGGTTTTCTCGGATTCTGGAGATGAGATTGGGTCGAAATTTCGAAAGTGGATGACCAATGCAGCCGTGTTTTCTCACATTACCACTGTATTAGCAAGAAGAAGTTGAAGCTTCCCCCGATGTGCACTTTGAGCCTGTTGTCAAGCTCGAAGCCGTTGATGTCAAGACCTTTGAAGAAGATGAGGATGTTTTGTTCAAAATGTAAGAGATTACCGCTAACCGCCAATTCCTTTTACGGTGGATGCGCATTCCAATCATGGCGGGGTCAGCGGCCTCCACGTAGAAAAATGGAACAAAATACTAAAAAAGTTGTAACAAAAACTAGGCGCGCAAAGCTTTTCCGTTACGACAAACAATTGAAAGAATGGAAGGAGCGTGGTACTGGTGATGTCAAATTCCTGCAACATAAGGAAAACAAAAAGGTGCGCTTGTTGATGCGTCGTGACAAGACTCACAAAGTGTGCGCCAACCATTCGGTGACCAGCGACATGTCGCTTTCTCCCAACGTCGGTTCAGACCGTTCGTGGGTGTGGAATGTTCTTGCCGATGTCTCCGATGGTGAGGCTAAGGCTGAAACTTTGGCTATTCGTTTCGCCAACTCGGATAACGCCAATCAGTTCAAGGAGAAGTTTGAAGAAGTTCAAAAGATGAACATTGAGCTTCTCAAGAAGGAAGCTGGCGACGACAAGAAGGAGGAAAAGAAGGAAGAGAAGAAGGAAGATGCCTAAATAATGTATATCTCTTGTCCTCCAAAGTTTCTTATCTTTTCTTCACTAGGCGCATAATAAACCCTTTCCCTTACATATAACACACCCATACACAAGCACTACACACCAATCTCGTTATACAAATATACATATTTCAACGTTGCCCTTGTCAGCTTTATTCAGTCATCCCCTCCACCCCACCCCCACTTGTTCCACTCTCACCCACCAACATATGTGTTCCCCCCCGTCCGACTCTCCAAACCTTTTTCTCGCATCACATAAAAGGCACATCTATGTGTGTGACATATATCCTTGCATTTCAACACTTGGGACTTGGGGGGTGTTGGCTGGTCTAGATGTACGCTGTTAATGGGCTTATTTGCCAGAGTTTTTATTATGTGCTATGTGTTCTAGGCTGCTGCTTTGTTAAATGTATTAAATTACATTAAAAGACTAGTTGATCATACTATCTTTTAGAAGCATCGACCAAATAAGTTGGAAAACTCAATTAAATCATGGGGTAGGTATTATGGAATGTTGGATCTGGAGCATATACATTTGCATAGCTTTGTATGTATATACTGTAACGAGATTGTTTGTCATACTCGCGCAGTTGCTTGTTGGGAAATAGTACTGACATCAATATCGCCCTAATATAGCGAAAGAAATCCTGTTTATGCTAAAATAAAAGATGATCTGCGTTGTCAGATAAACTTGTCAGTATGGGAATCAGTAGCAACATCTTCCGCGGAACTGGTAAATAAGGTATATATTCATCCATATTGGTACTTGAGCTGCGTCAATTTTAACCTACCGATCAACGAGTAAAGTCGCAAGTTGAATTGATGGGCTGCTCTACGGAAATTGTGATTAGGACTTATGTTCCTGCTAAATCTAAAGCAGAAGTATGCTACGCTATGGTTTTTAAATCAGTTTTGACATCCAGAACATCTTTTCTTGTTGGAACGTTCGACCCAACCAATGTATTTGTACGTATACCGTGGTATGTCACTTACAGCCATTTACACATCTTGACGGTGCTGCAAATTTAATATAAAAACAGTCTGTGCTCAAACATGTTCTATTATTAACCCTGTTCGTTCCCGCACAATGTTACTCGAAAACGTGAAACTACGCAGTATGCTGCTCATGGTTTCATATTAGTGTTTGTATGTAGATGGCAATCATTTCACAGACGGGTACATAAATTGCATGTAAACCCTCGGTTATAACAATAAAATCTCGGAATACTTAGAAGGCCACATTGACGAAGCAATCAGTCCATATAGTAATTGATTAAAACTGGACATTGTCTGTGCAAATACAAAGGCTAGCCATAAAAAGCAGCGATTTGGGGTGCACAACTGTCTATGGCGTAACGACCACGAGTTTACCATATCTGTGATTTTCGGGGCCTGTAAAAAAAGAAGGTACTTTTTTTTTCCTTTTCTTCTTTTCGCTTTCACTTGTGTGTGTGTGTGTGTCTCCCAGCATCATGTCCCAACCAAGATTGATCGGTGAGCTGGCTGTAGTAGCTCTCGAAGCGGTAAATGTTACTTACGACACTGTTCCTTTTGTGGCATAAATTACCTTACAATCCAGACACTGACTCTAATGAACAATAACAGGAGAACTTGCCCAAGGTGTGCGATCCGTTTTTGACGCTAGTTTTAGCCTTTCCTTATATTTCCTAGTTTGTTTGGTTTTGTCCCCCTAACAAAGGTATTATATGCATATCTTAGGTTGCTGGCAACCTGAAATCGTTCTGCGTATTCAAAGTGGCCAATGTTGCGAAGCGAACCAAGACAGATACTCAAGGAAACCGTAACCCAACGTGGGATGATCAGGTACCATAATGAAAAGAGGGGGGGGGATGGACTCTAATTACATCATACACAAAGAAAGCGGGAAAATAAAAGAAATTAGTGGTGTTTTTCTGACGCATGCAATGACAATCAAATGTAATATAGGTGAATATGCCGATTCCACACGGATACAATGTCATGTCAGTGCAGGTCTTGAGTGAGGATCCTCAGAAGGGCGACCAAATTGTTTGCGAAGGCTCAATTGACTTGACCAAGGTGCTCGGTGAAGGAGAATCAGATGGTATTTTCAGAGCAAAGGATTACGGAAAAAGGGAGGTTTTGGAGGTCACCGGATGTCTGACGAGAGTAATACCATTATATTACAGATTGGGTGCCATTAAAGACACGAAGTGGCCAAGAAGCTGGCGATGTATATTTGGAACTAACTTTCTACTCAGCTGTAAATATATTCTCGCCCGATCTCCTCTTCCCCACCATCCAAAAACAACAACAACGACAGCAGCTTATTCCATTAATTACGTGCATATCTATCATAGAATCCGCCTCCACGCCGCCAACCAACGAGATTTGGCCATCCGCGACCTCCCCACATGGCTGGTGGTGTATCCTTTGCTCGACCACCCATGCCAAACCATTTTTCAGCGCGCCCACGTCCCCCCATGCATTCAGCCTCGGCACCTATCCACGTCAATGCTTCGCCTCGTCCGCCATCTGCTGGCGGTCCGCCCTTCACAGGCCCTCCTCCGCATCATATGCAACCTGGCGGATTTGCTACGCCTCGACCTCCACCTCCTCAGCCCATGGGCATGCCACCACCACCGCAGCAGCCTATGGGGACCCCATCGCATCCAGTGGCAGCAACTCAGGTTGCTCCAATGCCCGGTACACCCGTTACGACTAGCTCCTCATCCTCATCAGTCGCTGTTGGCGGCCAATGGCGTGCTTCTTCGAAACCGCCACCACCCTCGTTCAACAATAGCCCACAACCTCGACCCTTGCCACCGCAAGGATCGCCTAATTCGCCCATGGGCGCGCCGCTGCTATCAGCTCCTTATCGTCCCGGCCCACCGCCATCACGGCCTCCATCGTACAATAATGGTGGTAAGGGGACATATTCTTGTGTGTGTGTGCAATGTAAGATTGAGTTTTTGGGCTTACAATGACGGTTACTTTATTAGGCTACCCTCCGACCACTTATCCGAGCAAACCATTGCCCAATTATCCACCCGAGCATTTCCAACAGGGTGGTCCTCCTCCTTCACAATTTCCAGCACCACAGCATAACTACCCTCCTGGTCCTCCAGGTGGTGGTGGTGGATATCCTCCTCAAGGCCCTCCTCCGCCGCAACAACATTATCAGCATCAAGGACCTCCTCCACCTCAACACCCTGGTCAAGGATATCCTCCCCAACCGGGTTATCCTCCGCAACCGGGCTATCCTCCGCAACCGGGTTATCCTCCATACTAGAGGCCTACATGCTAGTAATGCATTGCAAAACGAAAAAAAAAAGAAAACCCTCTGTACAATTTATATCTTTATTCCTGTTTTGCTCTGTTCTTTCTTGGCGATTTTCTTTTTTTCTTAGAACACTCTCACATATTTGTTGTCATGTTACTTGTTTTGTTTTGATGTGGATTTGCTTGGCTGTTAGGTCCTTTACTTTATAATATCATCACTTTTATATTCCTATTAAACATTGTAATTCGGTTCTCGGTCTGGTAATTTATCTTTGGATCATATGGTGTTTGACCAAACTTTATAATCCTATTAAAAGTATCCGTAAAGTATCTGTAGTGAAATACGTACCTGATCTGCATTCTACTCGACATCATACTGTTCTTAGAAGCTATCACTGAGAAATCAGAATGTTTTGATTCGTATATAACGAGAGACTCTGTGATTTTGTCACCAGAATCATATGTTTCGGAGGCATAACAGAGGCATAGCTGAAGTAATCCACCGAAATAATTAGGGCCAATTTGTATGTCTTTGCAAATTCAGGTCGGGCGCGCAGTGGCTTATATGTGTGGGTTGGGATCGATTTTTTTCGCTTGAAAAACGGGTTGGCGTATCTGTCTCACTCCGCGTTCATATTTGCCCAACATGTACAACGACGCATTCGAAGAAGACGACTTGGTCGCTGAGGTTGAGCTTGTCGCTCAAGCACGCTACTCGCGTAATGCTGATCTCGAAGATGGCTTTGATGGTGAAGGTAAATGTTTTTACGCTTCATAGCGATGGATGAATCAAGCACCCTTTTTGTTAGTTCATTATTAAATGGATTACGCTATATATACTTAGTTGCCACGAGCCAACAGCCTGCCACTGTTCAGATCCCAGACGGTGTTCGCAACTTCATCTCGTTCTTTTATCGCAATGTTCTTGAAAACAATGTGTACGAATTGCATAATGTTTACGACAGCTCGTTCAACAAGTTAACCGACAAGTATTACACAAAACAGCCTTGGCCCGAGGCCGAGGTCATTGCACCCCTCGTCAACAACGGTAGCGATTTCTTTTTATATTTCTTTTAATTTAAGTTAGCTATGAAGGAAAGCAAACTGGTGACAGGAAAACAGTGCCAAGGAGGGTGAATTCTGACCTTGCGAGAATCTGTGAATATGTATAGACGAGGTCTTTTTGACGTTGTACCGTGAACTTTACTATCGCCACATCTATGCTCGCTTGACTCCTTCCTTGGAGCATCGATTCCGATCCTACGAAAACTACTGCGACCTGTTTAACTACATCTTGAGTTAGTATTTTTTTTTGACTGGGAATAAATGAAATAGAATGCAGGAATGAAAGGGAAAAAAAAGAAGAGGGATTTGTGATTGTGTAGTTTGTATTAACCATGTATCAATGTGACATTTGACAGATTCGGAGCAACCGGTTGACCTCGAATTGCCCAACCAGTGGCTGTGGGATATCATTGACGAATTTATTTACCAATTCCAAGCATTCAGCAACTACCGCGACCGTCTCAAGAACAAATCTGAAGAGGAGATTGCTTTGCTTCGCGACAACCCCCAAATCTGGAGCACATACAGCGTTCTTAACGTCTTGTACTCGTTCATCCAAAAGTCTCGCATCAAAGAACAGCTCCTTGTCAGCAAAAAGGGTGGTGACATGATGGAAGCCGCTGGCGAATATGGTGCTCGGCCCTTGTACAAGAACCTTGGTTATTTCTCTATCATTGGTTTGCTTCGTGTAAACTGTCTGATGGGTGATTTCATGCTCGCTTTGAAGATGATGGATAACGTCGTTTTGAACAAAAAGGTATAAACTACTAATGTGTATGGAGAATGGCATCATGAACTTTTGGGATACTGACAAGTATGCTATTTCCTCTATATAGGCATTGTTTGCTCGCGTAACAGCATGCCATGTCACTGCATACTACTATGTCGGTTTTGCCTACATGATGATGCGTCGCTATGCCGATGCCATCAAGGCGTTTTCCAACATTCTCTCCTTCCTTCAACGCACCAAGCCTTATCACAGCAGATCTTATCAATCCGATCAGGTACGAGGAAAAAATGTGCTGCATGATTTTTGATAGTTTTCAAGAAAAAAAGCTCTAATATGATCATCAACAGCTTGCACGAAAGAGCGATCAAATGTATGCTTTGTTGGCCATGTGTATTGCTCTGTGCCCTACTCGTCTCGATGAGAACATCCATTCTCAATTGCGTGAAAAGTATGGCGAACATATTTCAAAAATGCAGAAGGGGTAAGTTCATGGCATAGAATCATTGTCTTTTTTTTCCAAGGATCTCCAAGTATTGGAACGGAATAACTGATCAGGTTATGCTTCTAGTGAAGAAGGTATCTCCATCTTCGAAGACTTGTTCCAACATGCTTGCCCCAAATTCATTTGTGCCTCTGGACGACTTGATGGTACCCCACGTGTTGTACGTTTCTCATCTCTTCTTTTTATTTTGAATCGAGATACTATGCATTTTTATATAACAAATCGACTAAACGGGTTGTTGTTGCCGTCTGTTATGATATTAGGATCCCCATACTATCTACCTGAAGACCTTTGTCACTGACATCCGAAACCAGATTAAGCTCCCTACCTTGCGATCATTTATGAAGCTCTACACAACCATGGGCATTGACAAGCTGGCTAAATTCTTAGAGATGAATCCCGAAGAACTGACGATGCAATTGTTGGTGTTCAAGCAAAAGTCTCGCCAGATCAAATGGGTCAGTGGTAATTTGTTGGACGGCGAATATCTGCCTACGTCGGATTTGGACTTCTGCCTGAAACAAGATGTTGTACATATTGCTGAAAGCAAGGTTGGCCGTCGTTATGCAGACTGGTTCTTGCGCAATATCAACCGTTGCGAAGATATCGTTGCCAGCTTGGAGCAGCGGGCATAAAAAAAAGTTTTTCCCTAATTTGAATTGTTTTGTAAAGAGAAAAAAAATAAAATTCCTGCTCGCGTGTTAGCACCACAAAGTTGCTGTATCTTTTGTGTCCTTCTGGTAAAACTGGCAAATTGCGTATAGTAATGCTTTTCGAGTGAAGAAAGTTCAAAGCATATTTTCAAATAAAAAACAATTTCTAGACAATTAACCTCAAGAGGGCACAGTATTCGTCATTGTAATTTTATGCCAAAGCCCTAGATATTATAGCGCATTTAAATTCTGATCGCAGCAGGGCACTGTTTTAGAAGGTGTATATGCTTCACCTGCCAGAAAGCATTGTCTTTTGAGTGTCGTCAGCAGCAGTAATCAGTAAGGCGCCCAGCATAGAGACCAAATGCATAAGAAATAAGAGACGTTGCGTAGAGAAAATTTAAATTATGTTCGATCGCTTTACAGTAGCCGTGCCCTATACTATTACACCTCATAGAGCTGGGGAAAGGTGTATCTAGTGTTTCTCAGGTACATAGCAGTACATATTCTCTTCCTGGTTCATATGGCTCACATAACTAGATCATGAACATGAGTTTTAACTTGAAAGCTGCAATTTCACGAGAGAAGTTCATGTTGTCGTGTTTACCGAAAACGAAGCTTGAAACTGAAGCAGGAGCTAGTTTGTGGCTCTTACTAGCATGAATAATGCTGTGTACGGAATAGCAAACATTTATCTAATGCAACGGAGTCGCTAAGAATTTTCATGCACCACATCCATCTCAAACCTTTGTGCTAAAAAGTTACCTAAAATGGCGCATATATGAAAGAGTTGATGAATCCTTTTATGTGTATATTTACATGTGGTGTATAGGGTAATTGGGATATATATTTTCTACAATGGTAAACTGGAAAACGCAATGATAAAAATGTGTATATAACAAGTACTTTTATCTCTTGGTGCCCTCCCCTTTAGCGATGGTCTGTGGTACCAGAGGAATGAGAGCGAATGCGTTCTCGTGATTGACGACGCTGAATAGCAGCAGCTTTCCTGGCTGTAACAACTTGCCAGCGATGAATTCCAACCGCAGTGGTCATGCCCACGATAAGTGCAGCTCCCAGAATGGTATAAAGATTAGGATGTTCCTGGAGAAAAAACGCACCCACAACATAGGCGGAGAAAACTTCACTCATTCGCATTAAGGTTCCTAATGTAAAGAAGATACATTTAGTACAAGCTGCACATACAAAATACCCCTGACCATTTTAATTATTACCTGGACCAGCAGGTGCAAGCTTTAAACTAGAGACAGACAAGCAGTTAGAAACAGTATGTTTGATGCCAAGAAGAAAGAACAAAATAGGGGGGAAGATGTGTACCCTTGATTAAGAAGGCACTGTCCTATAAACGCCAACATGCCAACGAGGCCCAAGTGGATCCAGTCATTTAACAAGTGGTCTTGAGGCGAAACGAACTTTTGAAACGCAAACATGCCAATCGGACTAATGATCGTTGCAATCAAACCGACGTAAAATACGTGTACCATGAAATGAGTGCCTTTCCCGACTTTTCGTACGGCAACATAAGCAGCGGCGGACATGAAGGCACCTGTCAACGCGCATATAATTGCAAATGCTCGCTCCATATCTCTAGAAGATGAGCTGTCGTCATTGCGCCTGCCAAACAAGTGTCGTGGTTGAGATATCAGAATGACGCCAGCAGTACAAAGAATCGAGCAAAAGCCATCAAAGATTGTAAATGTGTCGTTAAACAGGACAGCAACCAAGGCTGTTGTGAAAGCGGGACCTAGGAAAAACATGACTAGAGAGATTGTCCTTTGAACGTCAATAGGTCATCGTCCCCAAAATTGGGGAGAGAAACGCGAAAGGCTCGAGTTATACCATGTGTCATCCGTCTTCATATTACCTGTTGCTTCCAACAAAGTCAGTTTTGTAAGACTGTAGAAAAAGAGTATCAAGCCGATGGACCCGACAAATCCTCTTACAATTAGCCATATCCGCACTCCGGATTTGCTTCCGAATGGATTTACTCGTAGTAAAGCACAGCTTGCAAGCGCCAGAACCAGTTGAATAGCTGAGCGAGCAAACACAATCTCAAAAGAGGGTAGTCTGGTGCCGCATTGCTTGACGAAGAGAGCGCTGAACGTAAAGGCCATAGCAGAGAGTACTAGCAGTAATAGACCATGGATTTCCTTCTTAAATGTAGCAGGATCGTTGCTCAACGAAATTACTTTGTAGTCTGGTTGTTGTTGTTGTTGTTGCTGCTGGTGGGAACGTAGGGCTGTCTGTCCGCCGCCATGTTTCTGGACAAGCGGTGTGGATTCATTGACAATTGTCACGCTGGTAGGAAGGTCGGAATTCCGTCGGTTTACTGATGCAGCAAGTCGCTTGTCGGTCTTCGCCATTGAGAGAGGAAAGGAAGAGGGGCGGGTTCTTTTTTAGGAAAGCGATAGAGCCGTCAAGCGCTTATTGCGTCGAGGGACAGTGACAGTAGAATGAGCCTAAGAGACACAAGCTAATGAAGCCAGAAAAAAGTGAGCAACGCCCGGTGCTTTGTGTTTTGTAATTATGTAGGTTGTGTGAGAGCCCGGAACGATCCCGATGCGCAAAGATGTGCAGCTCGTAAAAGCCAGCAAGGGAAACATAACAATCACCCACTTACACGCCTTACTTTCGGTGTATTTTGATCCCTAAAGCATACACTGTATCATCACATTGAAGCAGTGGTCTATTCCGAGCTAACAATAATTGCCAGGATTCAAGCTACTTTTGATGATGTCAACGTAACCTGTAACGTAAAGATAGCTGTGGAGGAGGAAGCACATGTTTTGCCGTAATTATGATGAAATCAACAATAAGGCCATGTGCATCTCCAATTAATTACAGCATTGCGCCATCAGACATGAAAGTGGATTTTCATGATACTAGATTTGTCAGTATAGAAATAAGGATAATTTTTTGACGTGAGCCTCTCTTGTATGATTGTTTACTTTGCCCGACAAATTCGGAAGACAACGACAACACAAGATGTTCCTTGCATCATCGCCTCCTAGATAGCCCCGTTATTGTTACGTGTGTTTGCTGCTACTGCTAACACCGGCCATACAGGAAAGCAAAACGTACAATAATAGGTATTAGTCGCTGGGCGGATACGATTTTAACTTCCAGCCGAATCAAACACGTAAGTTAATTAGAGATACAGATGTTTAGGTATGTTTATTAAAGATTATGCTTATATATACTGCTATCCATGACGCCCCAATTTGTGTCATTTTCGTGTTCTCAGTCTTCTTGAACCTTCCGTTTAGTACCACGGTGTCGCTGTGGAGAGACAGCTCCTACTGTTCGCGTTGCTTCGTCCAGGATCTCTTTCTCTTTCTCCTTCCACAGACTCAACTTGGCCTTGAAAGCCTTTTGATGGTGTACTGCACGCTCATCGGTTGCGAAACGGAATGGCTTGAGCAGACAAAAGGATATGTTAGAAGATGCTGAACATGCAAGTCGTTTGATGGCGTCTCCTTTATCTTTTTTTTACCTTTACTGTGGTGGTGTGATGAGAAGTTTTTTGCTTTTTGGTGACATTTTTTGGGAGCTCACTGCTTTCAGACGATGGTACGTTAGATGCTTTGGAGTTTCCAGGTCTGGTAGCTGATGAAATGCGTTTATTTCGTGAAACTCCTGTTGTGCGGGGACGGCTAATGCGAGAAAGAGTGCGGTGGCGATCAGAGCCTGAGTTGGTCTGCTCGGTTGATAGTGGCGGTCGCTTCTATTTGTATTTGTACAAATAGATTAGAGCTTTCTTTTCAAGTATACCGTTCACTGCATTTGCTCACAAACCTCTTGACTAGATTGAGACTGGCTTTGAGAAGAAGATCGCAGGTTCCTGGAAGAAGTGTAGAACGTTAGACACAAGTCTATATGCGGCGTATGTGCTTCATTTACTTACGATGGATGTGAGCGTTGGCGTGTAAGAAGTTTTGGTGAGCGTGGTCGTGTTAGGGAGGAAGAAGTTGATGTATGATGGGTATCGGTGGGCTAAATTCAATGTGAGGGTAGTTAGTGAACTCTTTACCCAAATACCAAACGAAATATGTCCATAAAAGTAAACTTAAGGTACATACTTTGGCTTGCGAATTCGTGGCTTTATTTTGAGCAAGTCGGTCGCCACCCCGAAGGTTTTGCTCGAATAATTTGATACGCACAGCTAATGGAATGTATACGTCTTCATCTCTCATTTCGTTGTGTATGTCATCCATGGCATTGATACGAGTTGATGATTGGAATCGTGGTATTTGCATAGGCCGTTGCTATGAAATGTTGAATGTCAAGTTGTTACATTTTAGAGACAGAGCGTGTCCAGAACGCTTACCTTGTGGGTTGATTTTTTTAAACGACTGTGTGCGGTGGGATCACGTTGGGATCGGTGCAACCGACTTTCGTAGGATGCTGTGGCTCGCATGTAAGAGGGAATATCCGCTTTCGGTTCGCTGGACAACGTCGTAGTTGTTGTCGTTGCTGTGGTTGTCGCCAGTTGTTTCTTAGCAATAGTGCTTGCATGTTGATGTTTTTGTTCTCGTCGCGCAGGAGAGACACTTTTATGCTCCGGCGTTGCAGCTTTCTCTTCAATGCTCTCCGATGGAATGATGCCTTTGAGCCGCATCAGTTCGTCCCATTCGCTCTCTGTTCGGAATTCACGGGTATTAGGTGTACTGTTGCTGCTGCTGCTGTGTCGCTTTTTGTCGTCGCTCATGGGGCTAGGGACGGTGCCACGTCTAAACGGAGAGGGTGTATTGTGATTTGATCCAGTGCGAAGCTCATCTTGTGGCGTCTTGGCCCCAAAATTCGCTGGAGGGGATTCATGAACTAGAGAACGATAACGATCACCAGTGCTAAAATTGGTGTTGCTGTGCGCAGGTGAAATTTCCAAAGCGTCTTGGCGTTCTTCGTCTTCTGCTACAAATGAATATTGTGGGCTCCCACTGTGTCGTGCTTGTTCAATACCGAATGTGTGGAAATCCGTCATTTAAGGATCGTTGATTAGTTATAGTATATACAATCGTGCGACAGAGAAGAAAAAGAAAGAGGAAGAGTACAGAAAAGGGAAAGAACAAAAAAAGACGCCAACAAGAAACGCGCAGGTTGCTGAGATTATTAGTTCCCAACACTTTTTTTTTCTTGCCGTTGCTTTCCTTTACCTTCCTTCAACTTTTCCATGTCAAACGAAGAATCTAAGAAGCCCGGTGTCGAGCATAGAGACCCACAGTACTTTGGGTACTATGCAATGTTACAGCATCAGGTACCCTTTCATAGCTTTGGCGTGGCTCGGACGCAAAGCAATATGACGCGTCTCTCAATCTTTCACTTCATAATTGACACGGCGTTTTATAAAACTACTGGTACCACCACAACTGCTACTGCTTCTGTGGCTGCTTGAAAACAGCAAAACATGCTGCAAGACACGGTGCGAACGTCGACCTACCGCTCTGCTATCTTACTTAATGGTCCTGGTTGCTTCCAAGGCAAGAAAGTAATGGACGTTGGTGCTGGTTCAGGTATCCTTTCCTATTTTGCTGTCCAGGCAGGTGCCTCGCAGGTGTACGCCGTTGAAGCTTCGGGTATGGCAAAGAAAATGAAGAAGCTTGTGGAAGCGCCCAACACAAATGAATTTCTCAAGGGCAAGGTGCAGGTAGTTAATGGTAAGTTGATGAAGGAGAAAAGGTGATTCAAGGCCCAAGAAAAAAGGATTAAAAGCTAATGGACAAGAGCTGGATTGTATTACGCGTAACAGCCAAGATTGAAGATCCAGATCTGCCGATCCCAAAGGTAGACACCCTTATCTCTGAACCGATCGGTGTACTACTTTTCCACGAGCGTATGGTAAATAGGAACTGCTGTAAATGACGAATAGAGAAAAGAAGACGCAAGTGGACAAAAATGTAAATGCGTGTTTTATTTTTTTTGACAGCTCGAGAGTTATATTTACGCGCGCGACCATTACTTGAAACCAGGCGGTGCTCTTTTCCCATCAAAAGGAAACATCTTTTTGGCACCATTCACTGATGCCACGCTGTGGAGCGAAACAATGGCAAAGGCGCGATTTTGGTACATATGCGTTCATCCGGATGATGCTCCTGTCTCTTACTAACTCTTTATTGTGTATGCGCATATAAGGGAGCAACCGTCCTTCTATGGCATCAATCTGACTTCGTTATACAAGGATGCTCGAGACGAAATGTTCGGTAAGTTGGATATCAAGTATTCGAATATCATTGCAGTAGAACAAATAAGTAACAGCAAGACTTTTTTCAGGCATGCCTGTCGTTGGACATTTTGATCATCGCAACCTTATCACCACTCCTACGTTATTTGATGGATACGGTGTCGACTTCTCCAGCGTTACTGTTAAAGAGCTGTTAGACATGACCATGCCTTTCAAATGGTCGGCCGGATATACCGGTTTGATGCACGGTATTGCCGGTTGGTTCGACTTGGTTTTTGCTCCTCCACCTTACGATGGAAAGTCAAATGACCCTAATCTCCTCAACACCACGATCGAAATGTCGACTGGCCCTGCAGCCGACCGTACTCATTGGCAACAAGTTCGCTTCTTATTCAAGGAACCTCTAGCTATTAACGCTACACAGACGATTCGAGGATGGATGCGTGCTGTAGTCAATGACATGAGAAGCTACACAATTTTTGTTGAAGTGGTCGTTGGTAACGATACCCCATTGAGCGATCCTGCGACAATTGACGTCGATACATTTGCTGAAGCACCTACGGAGGAAGTTCCGTTAAGACGACGAGGCCGTTGGGAGTTGCATGAACAGACCTACAACTACAACTACACTCCAGGGCTTGTTTCGGACCACAAACCAGAATACTCTTGCCTGTACCAACCAGAAAGCGCCATCGATCAAGTTATTGAAAATCAACCACCAGCTCCACCAGCTCCACAGCAAGGAGAGTCCATTGACTTTTCTGCAGTGAACAATGTCATGGAAAACTACGACAATTTTGTAAATTAAAACATATCCATCCTTTGTTGGCAAAACAGTAGAAAGAACTACTTTTTGGTGCTCAATTGCTCTTATGAAACAAGAAAAGTAATAAAAATACAGTGGCACAAGATAAACTGTGCTTTGCGTTCCGTGATACGAACACTGGAAGGAAAGGATGAAAATTCTGGCTAGCAATAATGCAACTCTTGTCTGGCAAGACATCGCTTACTTTTGGTATACAATGAGGACTAAACAAAACATTGCAACAAATGAATAGGTAGTGATGTGTGATAGCAGGATTCTTTAAAAGTTAAATAGCATAAGAAACTATGATAATGTACACATATCAACAGGTTTATACATCCCTTTATTCAGAAGCGGATTTCTTGTTTTTCGATCTTTTCGTCTGTTCCATTCACCTTCGTAGCAGTATTTCGTTTTTATCGCTAAGATCATCATCGTCGTCGTCATCTTCATCGTCTCCGCTCCATTTGGTCCACTCGTCTATCTTGTTTTGGTTTCATCAGGAACGATCCTTTCATATCCTTGAAATCGTTTTGCTGGTCTTCTTCATATTCGTCGCAGTCTTCATCATCGTTCGTTATTCAAGTGGTCTCACTTTATCCCATCCTTCCACCACTCCATTCTCCAAAGTCTTTCCAATGTTTGTAATTGTCTCCAGCGTTGTGATCCTTCCAATGTTTTTCTTTGCTATGGCCCTTTCAATGTTTGTCTTTTTGATGGTCCTTCCATTTGCCTTAATTATCAGTTTTGTTGCTGGGGGTGATGTGCCTGTCATGCTGATGCAGTGCACCTGCCCGTCCCCCATTTTTTTTGGTAGCAAACTGTCGAATATTCAGCGATAATGTAAGAATGTTAACAGCTTTATACATAGTCATGTGATGTTTTAAAAGTTTAAAGTACTTTCCTTACTTCTGTAGAGCTGGATGTATTGGTGATTGCAGTTGTAATAGTTGCTGTTAAAGTTTCGGTACAGTAGTTTTGTGAGTTCCCATTCATTTGATTCTTCTTGTCGCAGTAATTGCGGTTGGTATTTTCTGCGTCGTGGTGGCAGTCATACCGATGGTCGGACCAGTTGATACTTTGCTTCAGTTCTTGAGAAGATGGCTGTTCTTGGCTTGGAAGTGGTAGTTGTGTCGTGTGTTTTGATTCTACTTTCTGATGTGCTTGTGCTGCTTCTTGTTGTGGTGCTCGATCTTGTCGTAGTAGTAGCGGTAGTGGCTACAGTCGATGAAGTTGCTGAGGTTGTCGCAGTCGCCGGCGACGATGTTTCGGATTGACCAGTTGCTGTTGACGCTGTAGTACCTGCTTTTCCTCCAGTTGTTGTCGTTAGTGGATAAGGTTGTTGCCGGTGTCGTATATTACACTGGTAGTTGTGCTGCTGATTGGAGTTGCAGTAGTATTGGGCGATGACGCAGTTTGCGTCGACGATCTGGTTGATAAAGTTGATGTCGTGTTCGTGTTCGGGCAGGCTGTAACAAAAACGGTCGTGATGACCGGCAGATCAAAAAGTACACTACTAGTTACTGATATTTCATAGTTGCCCAGATATGGGGATTTATGTTTCTTGTTACCATTAGTACTTAGTATTAAAAGACATCCAGCATACTGTATAGATAATTAGACCCGCCAATTATCTTATAGCAATGCACACAAGCTGGCTGATGGGTTAAAACGTTATGCTTGCTCTCGTTTGCTGAAAATTCCCAATATTCTCTGCATTAACAATTCTTGCACAGCAACTGCATAAGCAGCATTATACTAACACGTTTCTACGCCATATGCTTTTAAAAGATGTTATGCTATTACCCACAGCTGTGGTATGCGTTTTTCATTTCTGATTTTATCGTTTTTTGAAAGGTTTACTAAATCACTTTCTATTTCCCCTAAAAAACCCGGACCATCAAAAGCTTCTTATCAAAACCGCCACTATATTCAGCTTTTCATTTGGTTGATAGAATTACAGCGAAGAATTTACCTTTATGCATTCTACGGATACGATTTAATCATGAATAGTTGAATTAAGTGTGCATCGACTTACTTATCTGTCATCCATCAAGAAATAGCATAACAGCACATGTTCAAATTGAGAAATGCCAGCCTTTTTTATATTAACAAGGAGAACGGGTGAAGGAGAGACAGAGGAGGCAATTGTTGTGTCTCCAGAGCCCTCATGTGCTTTATTAGATCATAAGAACAACCTGCCGTATATTATACTCTTTTGTGTCAGATCTTGCAATCTTTCTGCTACATGCATGGAGTACGATCCACCTCTTTTTGAAGGCACTTCTAACCAGGTAATCCCTTTTGTAAACTAAACGCAGGTCTACAGCCGTCCATTTGACAAACAATCAAAACCTTTCTAGGAACGGCTCGTTAACAATGCCATTTCCGTCTTTGTGATGAGCTTTGTGCTATTCACTCTCGCGAGTTCCATCGTTCATGGCTTCGGAAAATCTCCTGTGCATTTACTCTTCGGTAGTGTTAAAAGCAATTACAAATGTGTCTTCGCTATGAGCATTGACATTTATGTATATGCTTCATAGGAATCAGTGTCCTGGTTTTCGCTCTATGCTTAAGAAAACTGGTACGATATATCCTCCGAATTTTGTTTGTTCCAGTTTGGTGGTGTGAGATTTCCGCTTTGCTCACATACGACTATTTACAATAATAGATGAAATGGTGGAGCTATGGTGATCTTGATCCAAAGTTCAAGTGGGTTATCGTTGCGCACGCTGCTTCATTATCTCTCCTTTGCATAGTTGCCAATATTTACATCTGGGCATCCCCTAGCTGTTCAGTATGCTGATCATGAGGGCAAGAACGACGTCCCTTACATATAATATCTTATACATATAGCTTAATACATAATCAACCTTATAATGATATAACTACCTAATAATTTATCTGAATTAAGTAAATATATTTAATCTATTGTTTAACATGTACTTCATTCATTTTGAACAACCCCTGCTCTAGGTGATGCAAGTGGGACGGGAGCATAAAAAACAGCAACGAGAATGTATATAGGATGCAATGGCGGATAAGTGATGTGCAGATGAGGTGACGAATAGTATGGTTATAGTAACAGTCAAGAAAAGGGAAGAGGAAAGGGAAAAGGAAATGTTACAACAAGAATTGGAATAAGCGGTAAAAGGTGATTGTCTAAGGTTTAAGCTACTGATTTTTCCCTCCTCGTGCTGCCCATGTTCCGTTCCATCGACTGCTCATCCATGATTGTATGGAGCTGGTCGTGCCATTGTTATCGAAAGAGCCCGAGGAACCGGATGATGTGGGTAGAACATCCACAGACTTTTCTCGAACTTTGGTTTCTCCACGGTCCACATCACGCTTGGCACTTTGGTACATCCATAAACCAACGAATGTAAGCATGATACCCAGCGACTGGGCAAACGATACTTGCTGGCCGAACCACAGAATACTCATGACGATAACAAAAATACGTTTGACAAGCGATGCGATCGAGTACGTCACTGGGGAGGTCATGCTCAAAGTTGTGAATGCAAACCAATTTTGGGCGAAATTCGTCGAACCGTTCAGCAAAAAATACACGCACAACTGGCTTGCACCAACTTCGGTTTCACGGTCAGCCATGAGACTAGCACCATCGGAATACAACCAGAGCGGAGACATGAGGATGAACGACAATAACGACGAGTAGAAAAGCATGTTCATCTTGTCGAGCTTGTTCGGATCGCCTTTACCCAGGTTAGCTTCCTTGAATATTAATTTCTTGTTAAAGATATTTTGCGATACGAACACCAGACAGGACAGAAATGCACAAAGCAGGCCAATCAAATTGTTCGAGAACGTAAACGTGCACGCAAGAATGACGCCCAAGGTGAGTGGTAGGAGTGAGATATACACCTTGGATGTATATCGTACTTGAAAGATGAACCGGTAGAACATGACAGTAAACAATGGTGCCAAAGCCTGTAATTTTTTTTGGTAACTCGTTTAAAAAAAAGTACAAATTCATGCACCAATTTCTCTTTCTTCACATCCTCCACCCCCCCCCCCACACAAAACATACTACCCAGATATAGCACAAGCCTTACCTTAATCGTATGGACCAAACTAACTGGCACTCTACTGATGGCAATGCTTGAAAACACATGGCCCACAATTAAAAAGACGGCAAGCGGTGCCATGGTTTCTGCGATCCGTCGTGTTGGTGATCGTATCTGGGTAACGCCGAATCCCATGGCAGCAACATAGCACCACATGGCAACCAGGCCAAATTGAATAAATGTCAGTGTCACTGGGAACTTGAACATGTTGAGGATTTGTTTGCCGGTATTGTTGGTCAAGGACGACGAGATATACCACATACAGCAGTTGAGTATAAACTTGAGGTTGTCGGATAATCCAAAACGGGCTCGTGGCATCATAAAGTTCCACAAGTTCTGTAGCGAGCTGCTTGACGTAGAGTCGATATGGCGTGTCGATAGATCCGCTTGTGCATCCTGGCCAGCGAATACCGACGGTAAGTAGCCTTTGCCATAGTCTTCAGGAGAAGACGAAGAATGGAGCTGTGATTGATACTGATAGTCATCTGATGATGGTAATGGTGGTGTCGGAAGCGACTGTGGCATGTCGTCATAGCTACTTGCTCCTCCTCGGTTATATAATTGCTGCTTTCCATTACCAAAGTAATTGCTGGCTGCTGGGGAAAGCGGCGATCGGGTATCAACCTTTGAATCAAACGATGGTGGTTGTTGCTGAAGCATTTGATGTCGTTTAAGGGCCGAATCCTGTTGGACAAAGCCGCCATCGCCAGCGTCGGCAGCTATTATCGCAGGCTCCTGTGAAATAAGTGTTGCAGCAGGCATTTGTCTCTAACTATGTGTAGTAGAAAGAGGGAAAAAAAGAGAGCGAAGCCTTCATTGATAGCGCCGATCCCAATCGATTTTTTGTATGTTGCCGTAAGCGGCGACTCAACTTGTTGGTGCGTTTTGCTTGTTTGATAGATCAATAAAGATAAAATTATATGTGCTGTAGGGAGGTTATCATGAAATGTGTTTTGCATTCTTAATTAATAATTCATACCTGTGAAGGAGATAAAAATTTAGCATGAATACATATATAAACTCTTGGAACACTCCATCCTACCACGGTGATAACATATACATTGGTCTTATAGTTGCTAGGCGATGATATGCAGGCTGACGGCATTTTTCTACTATGTATGTAACACACAAAGACCAAACCATACCCCGATATACATAGGCACATGTGTACATCGAATGTATTTGAATTTAGGCTGGGTTGAGAGTGAGAAGGGCTTACTCAGGTATTGATTATGTATACTCTGCAGCATTGAGCCTTGAATTTTTCAAACAAGCGGATTATGCTAGGTTGAATATACATATTCTCTCAGACATAATTACTCGAATCAAGTGCCGGAATAATGCAGCACTTAATTGACGACTAGTTACTGTGGCTCCTAAAATATAGTCCAAAAGCGAAGTGCATGGCAAGTATCGCTATGATTTCTGCTGCAAAAAAGTGCTGCCGATTAGTGAAGTTATATGTTATATAGTACCACTATATGGTTGAATGAATTTTGCTCGGAGCAGCAACGCCCAAACGCCCGCCAGGAAATTCTTGCTTGACTAGTTACGCTTTCATATTCGCCAACACTGTTAAAAAATGGAGGAGTTCATTAATCACCAAATAAATCTGGTCGAGAAAGAGAAACAAGTGGATGTCGAGGACACTCTTAAGATGCTGTCGTCGTTTACTCCCGTGCAGCTTCAAAAACGCGGTGTGGCTCTGATCGGCCTCAAAGTGACAGGTATGGGAGTGATTGCGTGGAATAACGCGAAGCAGTAAAGCTAATGTACTATTGTAATGCGTAAACCAGGAATGCGAACTGGTCTTGGAGGAAAGAGGTAATAAAACGTTTATTTTCTTTTTCCCGTGGATTGAAACAGTGGTTTGAATAACCATTTCGTCACTTCAAAGCTTGATCGATCTTGAACTTGGCAATCCCAGCAAGGTACCGCCCACGTTCCCGCCGCATAAAATAAGTACCGGTGACATTGTTGGTCTGGACGAATACAAAAAGGACAAGCAAACCAAGAATAAACTTGGGTCGCAATATTCAGGGGTTGTTTTACGCGCAACAGATACAAAGATTACAGTCGCCTTAGGATACGATGTTGAATTACCTCCAGAAGTGCAAGAGCGTTGTATGATGTAAGCAGCGAAGATGATAGTAAGAAGATCAGCTTAAATAGGGTACATGCATTCTAACGTGTGTATAGCGTTAAGCTGGCAAATAATGTCACATATGATCGGTAAGTATTATATGGAGTAGTACAGATTATCATGCGAACGAGACAGGACTTAGTAACTGAGCTTCAAAGAATGTTAAACGCGCTGGAGCAGCTGAAAGCGACAGCAGCAGCACCCGATGGTTTAAAGCAAGTTTTGCTCGGTCAGCGTACTCCTACTGCACCCCAGGATATATCTACCATCAGTTTCTTTGATGAAACCTTGAATGATTCCCAGAAAGATGCCGTGCGATTCGCCTTGGGAGCCAATGAAATCGCATTGGTCCACGGTCCACCAGGTAAAGATGCTTGCATTGTGCTATAAATGACAATGAAATTATGTTTATTAAAAGATTTTCTTTAGGAGTAAGAGCACCGAACAGAAAAACTAGCTTACAGGATCCGAAAGTAACTAACAAGATAACTGTTTCTTAGACTGGCAAGACATACACGCTTGTAGAAATTATTAGACAACTTGCCGTTATTCAAAAGAAAAAGGTGCTAGTATGCGGTCCATCCAATATATCCGTAGGTGAGTGCATAGTGTTAGAAATGAGAAGTCTTGAGGTAATTCTAAACAACAATATGGCTATAGATAATCTGGTGGAACGCTTAGCAAAGCACAACATGAACCTTGTGCGCGTGGGCCATCCAGCACGAATCTTACCAACTGTTTTGGACCATTCGCTTGATGTTATTACACGAACGTGCGATTCTGGACAAATTGTTGCCGACGTGCGCAGGGAAATGGATGAAACTCTCGCCAAAATCAGCAAATGCAAGAGACGAGCAGAACGACGTGAACTGTACGCGCTTTTAAAAGACCTCAGAAAGGATTATCGTGCACGGGAACGTAAAGTTTTGGACGAAATTATGACTGGAGCAGAAGTTCTTATATCGACGCTGAACGGGTAATATCCTATACATTGGAGGCAGTGCATGAACTCATTTCTAACTTAGTAACACTAGTTGTGGGAGCAAGAACATGTTAAAGCGCGAGTTTGATGTTGTTATCATTGATGAAGCTACTCAGGCTTTGGAGGCAGAATGTTGGATCGCACTACTCAAAGGAAAAAAGGCCATATTGGTAATATGTCTGTTTTGGATAGATGTACATGAAAGCACCTTTACTGGCTCAACTGAAATGCAATATTTAACTAGGCTGGTGATCATTTGCAGCTGCCGCCCACTGTCAAGACACCTACATCCCTGACGAAGAAAAAGAAAAAGGGCATGTCTACAGAGAATGATCTTTCAACAACGCTTTTTGATAGATTGCTCAGCATGTACAAAATGGATGCCATCAAGCGTATGCTTGTCGTACAATATCGTATGCACCAGAAAATCATGGAATTTAGCTCAAAGGAACTATACAACAACCAACTTGTCGCAGATGCAAGTGTTGCTGAGCATATCTTGGCGGATATGCCAGACGTATCTGCTTCGGAAAACACTGAGGTCCCAGTTGTGATGATTGATACCAGCGACACGGGCTTGGGCCATGAAATCGTGGATGATGCACAAGATAATGGAGAGCAAAGCCGTGCCAACGAATTGGAAGTCGACTTGGCAGTGCGACACATTCAATCACTTTTGGACGATGGTCTCAGCGAAGAGCATATTGGTGTCATCACGCCGTACGCATTTCAAGTGACCCATCTTATACGTGCGATTCGTGAGAAATGGCCTGCTATTGAAATTGGCACAGTTGATGGTTTCCAAGGCCGCGAAAAAGAAGCTATTATTTTATCTCTTGTACGATCCAATGATGAAGGGGTAGTTGGCTTTTTGGCCGAGAAGAGACGTTTGAATGGTATGCTTTTAGATAGAATGGGCATGTGATAGTAGTCCATTTCGGTGCTAACATTTCTCCTCTTTCTTTAAAAGTGGCAATGACGCGACCCAAGAGGCATCTGTGCGTGGTCTGCGATTCTGAAACGCTTTCTGGTACTAAGGCCAAAGCAAGCAGGCTGGATGGTGGGTTCCTACGCCGTTGGATGGAGTGGTTAGGCGATGAATCAGACCTGCGATTCAGCGAACAGTGTGTTTAATAACAACATAGTATAAATCGACAAGGGTAATCAAATTTAATAAAGATACGGATCTTGTTCTTGTAAATCTACTACTAAGGAGCCTGTTGCGGGAGCATGGTGATGTACTGTAGTGATATTGGCAAGGATATGACGCAAGTGCGATTGTAGCTCTTCGGGAGAAGTGGGGGTAGGTGGTGCTAAGTTTCTGTCTGTAGGACACGACACGTCTCGTACTGTATCAGCCAATCCGTACACTCGTTGCCACTACAGTATGTATAATATTCTCAATCAGCAACGAATATACAATCTAAGCAGCCGTTGAATATATGATATTCACCTGTTTTTGCTCTTGTTTGCGAACTCGTTTATGGCGTGACACCTCCTGCTGTAGCTATTGCATACATTTGTCTGCATGTTAGAGCGTGTCGGTTGTTTAAAATCCATCCCAAACTTGCAACTAAATATACCTTCATTATTTTTTCATTGGCCTTATGGGCCTGCTCCTCCAGATACCCGTTTCTATGACATTCGTCAGCATACAATTTCTGCAACGCTTCGATTGCCAAGCGATGGATATCCATGAGCGCTTGCGGGTACGGACGTTGCTGTTGCAGTTGTGGAGCCGGGTCTGAGACAGTGCGTAGAAAGGCACCACGCTGAGCCTTGAGGTGATGTTGTGCTTGCTCGACGTTGCCGACAGAGCTCAGAAGATGGCCGGTCGTATGTTCATCGAATAACGGTGCGACATTTAGCTTTTCATCGTCCGTGATAGATGATGACGGTGGAGAAGGTGGAGGAACGATGTCTTGACGGTGAGAGTGGTGATATTCCATTTTCTCGTCTTCAAACTTATACGAGTTTGCGTGTGCGTTGTGCATAGGTCTGTATGGCGCAGAGAACAGTAGAGAGATTTGGAAGAAAAGAGAGCGCGGGAGATGCAAAGTTGGTTTGCCTTTTTATAAAAGAAAGTTGTGAGAAATCTGACACATTTTAAAGCATTTGTTTTGTTGATGTAAGTAACCCGGGCTACATCATGTTTTTTGTAAATATGTATGGACAGTGAGGTGAGTGGATTTCAGAGAGAGAAAGAGACAGAGAGAGTGAGAGAGAGAAGAGAGAAATGAGAAGGAATTCAGCGCATTTGGATGCATATTTGCATACATTCCCGGTCCCTTGCGTAAACAGCACCAGTCCATGTTGCTATAAGACATTTGTGAAGCTATGGGTTGCATGTATATCGATGTTCACCTTCCGATAGCATATGTTACAACATGAAACCTGAAGCACTACGCCTCCTTGAGTTGTACCACGTCGCTTTTTCTTTCGTGCGCTCATTAGCAATGATAAATATACAGTACCGTACATTAATGGGGGACTCGTAGGTCAGAAGAAGCTGTGATTTTTTTCCTTCCATCTCCTTCAGTTGAAACAGTCAGTATCTCTGCAAAAACACATGTACTGTACTGGTTCTTCTGATAGTGTCACTGATATATATCCGCACATAGTTGTGAAAGAACCATCATATATATGAACGAAGAGTGCCTATCGGATATCTCGGTGTCGGCCCGGTATTGTTGTTGCTGTTGTCATCACACTTTAGCTTATTCTTGGCACAGACGTTGCACCGACATATTTAATTTTGCCATCTTGATCTGTATTCTACAGTACCCGCTCGTTAAACCGATCCCCTCGGTTTTTCGAGAAAGTGATCGGTTTAACGAATGATCGGTTTAAAGATTGAGGGTCCGCCAAGTGAGATATAGAACTCGCTGGAAGGATCATCTTATGTTGTTACAGTATTACATGTAATGTTTATATACATTTCAGGTTGGGATGCGAATTGTTGAGGGGGAGAAAGAAGAAGAAGAACAGGAAGACATCAAATAGGCGATAGCGAAGATGAAACGAAAATAACAGCAATTGGTAGACGATCTTCCTATTACTGTTGAGCCTTTGAGAATTTTAACATCTGTGAAGAGAAAAATCAGGTTGAATTTGATGCAATTTCATATCACCAATTTCGCCAATTAAGCTATAAAGCTTTGTAACTTGACCAAAAATAATCGATCAATTGTGAGACAAGTGATCAGTGATCGGTTTAGCGAACGTCCGATATTTTACGGCTTACCGAGCCGGTATTTTGGGGAAATGGTCGGTTTAACGAAATATCGGTTTAAGGGTAATCGGTTTAACGAGCGGTTACTGTACTTCTCTGAGCCATCCTCTTTGCTCTGAAATTTGTCTTACTCCATCAAACATGGCTTAACAAGAAAACATTGTTCTTGAATATGGTTCTCTCTTGAAAATATGCAAAGCTTAGCTACTCTGGAATCATATTTCATGCAAGTGCTGTATGCGCTGTAGTAACGAGGAGTCAATGTAGTAAGCTCACTTCATACAGTTTGTGCAATTCATACAGTTGGTTTCTTCTGACAGTACATGAGTACACAGCGCTGTAGTCTTTATTTGTTCCTATGGGGCAACTTAATCAAAAAGGCTTTCGTCCGACTACCTTTATGATGATGGCTGCCATTACTGCTACTGCTACTGCTACTATTGGTGCTCGGTGAACATTGTTGGCCGTTTTCGTGGTAAAACCACAGTCGAGCGATAGCATGCTTAGGACCGCTGAGGTTTTCAGCATCTTTGCATCTGCGGGCATTTGCAAGAAAATTTGTGTAGCAGCTGTCGTTGGTATCCCCATAACGGCTCTTGACAATTTCGACAGTGCGCACCCCTTTTGTCATATCTTCCTTAATATCTGGTTTGCAACAGCCCACCATATAAGTCGTCGCTAAAGGGATCAGCTGGGATTTTACTAAACTCATTTGAACAAAGTGATCGCTGGGTCGGATTGGGTTTCCGTGATTGGCAAATGGATCGCGCAGAGCCGAGCGACTCAACGCAAGGGATTCCATACCGTCTAACCAATGGTTGTACCGCCTCTCTCGACAGTGTCGAATCTGTGGAACCATCCAATCAAAGTGCTCAAGCTTGGCGCTTGGATACGATACAATTTATGGTCGTGGTAGCACCAAAATAAAAGGCAAATCGTTTGCAGACGTTGAGAATGACAGGGAGGCTAGATACCGTGCCATCCAGGGAACGCGTCCTCATACACTTGTATTTGGCTTGGTAGATAGCCCAGTGGCACGTTTAGGTATGGTCAGATCGCAAGGGTCTCTTTTTTTTCTCTCGAACTTGACTTTTTTTAGTGTAGCCTGGATGCTCGAAAAGGCATAATTGGACGTTTCATCCTGCTGACAGACAAGACACTGAGGCTCTGCCTGAGACTATCACAACCGACGAGTTCCTGACGGAACTTACCATCTATTGGCTTACCAACACCATGTCGTCATCCACACGACTGTGTTACGGGGCGTTCACGAAGAGGCAATGCGGATAATGTTCTTTAACCGTGTCGAAATTCCATTGGGCGTAGACTATGTCCCCAGCGAGCTAAACAAGGTAATCCACTGCATAGATCTAGAGTATATATGCAAAACTGACCCAACATGCACAAAGTTCCCTCGTGAATGGCTAGAAGCAAGTGGTGACCTTCAACAGTTCAACGAATTTGAAGTGGTAAATATCATCTTTTAGTAACGTATTGCTTCGTACTGACGAACAATGTCCAAGGCGGCCATTTTTCTGCGTTAGAGGACGAGCGAGTTGCTGGTTGATGACTTCTAACGGTTCGAAAAGCTGTTAAAGACGAAAAAAAGTTTATCCGATGGTCACTGTATGGCTGCTGTGCACAACACTCTATCTGAATATAGCAATGTATTACTTGGTCTGAAAATGCATCGCATGAATGCCTGTCTTGCTTTCATGATGAATGAAGTGTTTGGTGTACTTTAAACATTGTCGAATATGTACTTATTATATAATCGTCTACAGGTACGCCGCATTTCCTCCTCATCACGTTCATCCTCAATGATCATATTATGCAATATCTTGTATGCTTTTTTGCTTACGGTGACTCTTCAATACGTACTGTCTTGAATGGCTATGCACATCGGTACATCGCGTATTTACCCTCCCAATCTTCTCTTTTTTTTTCATACCACATCCAACTTACGCCCTTTGATCTACTCAGCAAAACCCCTGGCTTCCTTTCTTTTATTATTTTATCGGATATACTAATACATCAAATTATTCTAAGTGTTGCTTGTTATCGACATAATTATTACATCCTCTTCCACCATTATACGAAATCGTGTAGCCCATGAAGAATCTGCTTGACACTGTTAATAAAACAAATCAGTGCTTTGTACTATTTAAACAGAACCCCATGGCTCTATATGCTAGTACCTCTTGTGAACTGGTCACCAAGATTTGTATAATGTAGTTCATATAAGAGAAACCGGGCGATTGACTGATCCTGTATGGTCGAGCAAAACGCTTCGGCCCTTCTAAATAATATTATCTGACAAATGGTTTCAATAAATTTGAGTGTGTTGGGCATACCTATTCGACTTATAGCGGGAGCAAAACCGTATCTCAATAAAACGTATAGAAATTGTTCGCAACAGTTGCGAGGGAGCCAAGACCATGTAAGATGATCCTAGCTGTGCAGCATCTGCTACTCGGCCCAAAACCTGAGAAGCGTTATTAACAGGTAGAGCCTCCATAGAAGAAAGTATATACAAATAAAATTGTTCGCAACAGTTGCGAGGGAGCCAAGACCATGTAAGATGATCCTAGCTGTGCAGCATC